GCTCAAAACCTCCTCTGCTTGAGAATTATCTCCCTTTGAATTTATGGGGGTCAGCTGTCAGAAATCATACAATAATCTGGGAAGTATTTGTTATCTGCAGTTTCTTTTACACATGTATCTTCGGATTTATCTCTATTTTTAAGTCCTGCAAAATCTCTCAGATCATGTTTCTGTTTAACAAATTATCTAAAATACTTTATTTATTTTCAGTTCTTTTGAGATTACTACAACCAACATCATATCCTTAATTTAGCTTGAACAGTTGCTGTAAGTTGCATAAAAATGAATTAAAATAGAAAAGTTTTTCCACTTAGCAATTACAAAATTCCAGGTATTAAGAGACATAGAAGCCCGAACATTTCTGTTCCTTCTATTAAATTAGAAATAGATCTACAAGACAGAATACTTTAGCACTGTGCTCAGATGACCCATTGACATTTCCTCGTGGTTGGTACAAAAATGCTGACAATATTGTTTGATTTTTTTTTTTTGTGGGAGTTGTGGTTTTTTTTAGATCTTACAAAACTGACATCTGGGAAAAAAAACAAAACAACAAAACATCATTAGTTCAGACTGTTCTGTTTGGGGTTTTTGGTTGGTTGGTTGGTTGGTTGGTTTTTTAAGAGTGGACAAATCAGCACTGCAATGCATAGTGGTGTTTTTTTTAAAAATCATTCACAATGATTTTCAGAAGTTCACTCAGAAGTTTGGCAGAGAAGACTTTGATTTCCTGGCATAACATGGGGAAAAACATAATTTTAAAGACCAGATGCACCGAACCACCTCGGGCTACCTTTTAAAACCAGCATTTAACAGGTTATGCACTACTCAAATTGAAATTCTGTTTGCATTTTTCAGGATTCATGACTGACCACGTACATTACCCACAACCACATTATCTTCCTCCCAGTTTACGTGTAATGAAGATGTATGCACTTCAGAATGCATCCAGCAAGTGTTAAAATAATTTACATCTCCTTTTATAGTTTTTTTTCCCACTGGAAAACATACAATTTGAACCATTTTTTTCTGTGCCAAAATACAGAGATTCGTGGTACGATCAAAATCTATGAACTGGCTGGTGCACGCGTGTTCAGCAGTCAGGAGCTGAGGGGCCACATCCTCAGCGGGAGCCAGCAGCCCGGGGTGAACAGCAGCTTTATGTGGAGGCTGGCAATAGCAATGTCACATTTTAAGACCTCAACATCTTTACAACACATGGAGGATAACAACATTTAAAACCACACACACACACACACAAAACAAGCAAACAAACAAAAAAAAACACCCACCAAAGAACAGAAAAAGAAAAAAAGAATAAAGAAAAACCACCACCAAAGAAATCAAACCCAAGCCCCATAACCACCTGAACGCTGTTCAGGTCTCCAGTGAAGCAATACTGTGTTGCAATTCAAATCAAATTACTGACCCCATCAGGGAACCGAGATAATACTACCTAGAAGCTTCACATAAAGAAAATAATGAAGATTTATTTAAAGAAGTGTGAAGAACGACCACCATTGTCCTGATGAAGGGGGGGGGAGGGGGCAGATAAAGGTCGCTCAGGAGATGCTGCTGCGCCTCCTAAGGGAACCACCGCGTATAACAGCCCCTTCGACCAAAACAGAGGGCAGCGCGGCAGAGGAAAGCGGCCAAGACCCGTACAGAGAGGGCAACGCAGCACCCCCACCTCCTCTTCCGGAAACCGGCGCCTTTATCCCGGCAAGCTGGGTGGGAGCGAGGCCTTCCCCGCTTGAGCTGCCCGGCTTGGTCCCGTCGCTGGAGAGATCTCCGGTGCTGCCCGTCGTGCTGCGCGGCGTCTGCAGCAACCCAAGAGTGTAGCGGGGCGGCCGCTCCGCCCGCCCTCCCAACCCCGACGTGGAGGAGCAGCGGCCGGTGTAAGGCTCCGAGGTGGCCGAGGCGGCCTCCAGCCTGTACGCGTCCGCCTTACTGCTCTCTTTCAACATCGCTGCCTCGCCCCGCACGGCCACCGCCACCCACAAAAATGGCGGCGCCTGCGCCCAGCTCTCGCCCCCCTCGCCACCCCCACCCCCGGCGGCGGCTGAGGGGACCCGCGCGTCCCCGCCGCACACGGACACAAACAGCGCTCGCCCTGCCGGAGCCAGCGCGGCTGGGCACGCACCCAGCGCCGCTTTGAACACGCAGTATAAGGGTGACACCGGGGTGCAAGGAAAAGGAACTCTTAAAAACGGGAGCGAAGCGTTCACACGCAGTTCGCCCCACATCCATTCTTCAGCATCCAGAAACTGTTCCAGCAGCGCCCCAGCCACGTCCCCCCTGCTCAAGAGTTTCGGTACTAAAAAGATCCCAGTAACAACCATGAAGCTTGTGTACATCTGGAATTGTTAAAACGCGTCCTTAGCACACTGTGCCATGTGTCACATGAGTGCAGCATGCATACACACCACTAAAACCGTTCCAATAAACATTCTGACTAGACAAGATTTGTCCCTGGAACGTAACACACCCGCATTAAAAAAACACTCCAAACAGAAGCCAGCCCTTACCAGCCCACAGCGCTCCACGGACAACTGCAGTCTGATGGATATTCGGCTTCACAACTGAAATGACAGCAGTTGCAGCTCCTCTACTGGCATCTGCTCACAGTTCAGACAGCACATACTTTCTCAGCAGCGAGTATCATCAGCCTTGCACCAGGAACCTGAGTGTCACTGCAGAGCAAAGGATGGCAGGCTGCAGGTGCCCATTCCACCTACTGCCTGTCCTCAATTTCAAGTCCTACACTGAGCTTTCCTTTTGTCCTGGGTTCAGCAGTAGCAGTCATTTCTTTCCTTAGTAGCTGGTGCAGTGCTGTGTTTTTGACTTTCAGTCTGGGAACAGCGCTGGTAACACTGATGGTTTTAGTTGCTGCTCAGTAATGCTTACTCTGACCAAAGACTTTCTGAGTCTCATGCTCCACGGAGGAGGGGAAGCCAGGAGGAAGCAAAGACAGGACACCTGACCCAAACTAGCCAAAGAAGTATTCCATACCACAGCACGTCATGCCCACTACTTAAACCGAAGGCAGTTACCCAGAAGGGTTAGATCACAGCTCCGGTCAGGCTGGGTATCGGTCGGTGGGTGATGAGCAGTTGTATTCTCTTCCCTTGTTATTTCCCTTATCGTTATTATTGGTGGCAGCAGCAGTGGTTTGTGTTATACCTTAGTTACTGGACTGCTCCTATCTCAACCCCGGGGAGTTACATTCTTTTGATTCTCCTCCCCATCCCTCTGCAAGCAGGGGTAGGAAAGGGGGGAGTGAGCGAGCACTTTGTGGTTCTGGGTTGCCATCTGAGCTTAAACCACGATACTTTTTCCATCAATTCAGAGTGCATGCAGACTCCTGCAGCTGGTGTTAAACCCTTTTCCTATTCTCTGACAGAAATCCAAGCATACAACAAGAAAGGCAGAAACAAAAGCAAAGTCCATCTTCCACCTTCCTTCCTTCTGTATGGTCACAGATCACAAGGCTGAACTGTCTTAACCAAGTTGCCTTAAGAAAACTGAGAAAAATCATCTTTGGAATAAAGCACATACATCTGTACTTGGACCATGTTCTTGAAGGCAATAGAATGGCTGTTGATCCCTCTTCCCTCCTCATTTTCTTTTAATAAGCATATCTACAGACATACAATTTTATGTACCCAGATTATTCACTATTCTCTCACAAATTCTCATACAGTATCTTGCAATATTTATTGCTGAGAATACTGGCTATGCTACAGTACTTAAAAATCAAGTACTAATATCATGTCGGGATCTTTCCATATGAATATTTCCATGGGCAAAAAAAAAAAGGTTATGAAAGTATGTATTTCTGAAAGCCTTTAATAAAGGACCAGTAACCAAAGACTGAGAACAGCTGATTAATTACTGCAAAGTTAACTACATAAGCTCAGAAAAGAAAAATCTTATTAGTACTTTTAACAAAATAGAGGTAGACAGTAACCATGGATTTCGCACCAAAATAACATAAGACATAACACAGACACACCGGAAAACTATTTTTTCACTGGACATTTAACAGAAAACATTACTTTCTTCGGATAAGAAAAATTGTGATGACTTCTGCAAATACAGTATTTTAAAGAACTGATGTAAAGAATCGAAGAATATTCTTAAGAAGTCAGTTTGTGCACATACTCACCTCTTTTTTAACCTATAATCTTTTTAAGATCTTTAAAAGTAACAGCTGACTTAGGAAATGAAGTTGACCAGACCTTCTTCAGAAAAAGCCTCCAATACATTAACAGGATTTCAACCTACAGTTAAATGTTCTACACTGTCATTCAGTATCACCCACATAGTAATTCTCAGGGTGTCTCAGTCTATACTAGACTAGAAATTCTGAAGATGATTCTATTCTGTCGACACAACATGGAAAAATGGCAAATTCCTACATACTGAACAATGTTTCCTTAGATGAAAAAGAAGTGGCACTTGCAAAAGTAACCTGGAATAAGAAAAAAATAACTTAAAATTTTCTGTTATACCTTATAGTTGGATAAAACCTGATCAGTGTTCTCGCTCTCTCACGCTGGAAGCCTACTGTAACTTTTTTCCAAACCTTGAGACGGAAATTAATTCATCAGGCAACTGGACAGTTTAAGAAGAGCAGGGTTCTTATCTAAAAAAGCCTGTAGAGAAAAGCTTAAAACATTTATTAGAAATACTTAAGCATTCAAATGCACATTCTCTCTTTGAAATTCTCTATTAGTAAAGGTCTACCAAAAAGTCCAGTTATACCTTACACTGTACTAACATGAACAGGCTGGATAAAACTAACCAGATGGCGCTTAAGAAGTGTCTGAAACAAAGGTAGATCTTCTGAAGTACAGAGAGTAGCAAAGACTTTCTCCCCTTTACAATTACCTTTTATTATGTATTTCACTCTTAGCCAGGGTGTGAGGAATGTAAATTAAATGGCAATTTTAGGGCTTCTATGAAGACAAAGAGGACTTAATCCTTCAGAGAACAAGTATTTTCCATGCCTAGTTTTATTCTCATTACACCATAATCAAGTGCTGGCTATTACTGTCTTAAAACCTACAAAAACAGGATTTCAACTCAGCAACAAATTTAGCATCAACTCTATATTCAGTTAGAAGTTACTGTCCTATAAACCTTCTCTAGAATGCTTAATGTTAGCAAATTTCACTACAGATACTCAAGGTATGCTCTATTTCAAATATCAGAGAAATTCTGCCTAAGGGACTTATCAATAAGTGAAGACATTTATATGCTTAATGGAACAATAATTTTTGTTTCCACTGGAATTAGTTACTATCAGAAGAAAAAAAACTTGCTTCTCAGTATATGAAAGTGATGGCAAATGTGAACAGGAACAATTACATACACAAGTGCAGGGCAGTAAGTGCATGGCTTAAGTAGGGTTTTGTTTGCAGGTTGGTTTGGTTGCGGGTTTTTTTTCATACTTTTAAAGTGCTTTCTGTGATCTGCCATCAAAACATGCTTGTTGAAGGACAGATGTGCGCATGGTTGACATCACAGGAATACAAAAATTAAACATTCACGCTATTGCTTTGACTTGAATATTAAAAAAAAAAAAAAAGCCCACCATGTATTTAGGTACACATTGGAAGTGTTTCTACATCTCTTATATACAACCAAAGAACATGTTACACTCAGATTATTAGAAGCAGCCTGTTCTGGTACAGTTTATGAAGTGACAAAGTCAACAGTAAAGCTATTGCTTTACTTTTGCAATGTAAACATCTCAAAGAAGAATATGTTAACAGTTTCAGAGATGAGATTACTTAAATCAGTAGAACCAAAGCAAGTGGGCGTATCAACCTTTTGTCTCTACGAGGCTTAGTTCAGAAGCTCAGGCTGTACATTTATTCTTTGAAGGACATCTTCTGGCATACAAAAGACAGGATTGACAGCCTTGATTTGTTCTTCTCCTAATAAAGATAGTCCAGCAATTCCAAACAGGGTATGAAATGGATCCACCTGGGGGAAAAGAAAAAAGAGTTTGTGTCTGTTTCCAAACATGTTCATGTCCAAATGTTCATTCATACAAGCTTTTCATTTGTATGGAACGAAGCTTCTGTTTGCTAGGAAGAGACTGAAAACCCCCATGGCTGAAGGAGACAATGCAACTGAACAAAACTTTCATTTGTGCTGACAGGCACGACAGCTTTCACAACATGTATTTACAATACTATGATTTACGGAGAGATGCTTGCCAGTTGTCTCTTAAGACAATTTTCAACTCTGAATTTCGCAGGAAGTACTCGTTTGCCTCCATTACCATTAAATGTCACAGGGTAGCAGAAGCAAAGAAGAGATTTTAAAAGTTTGATCATCTGTGAGTATCACTTCCATAAATTCCCCATTTGCTCTTCAGCAACCTTCTAATGGTCTTCAGCTCTTTAATGGTCTCTGAATACAGATCTGTGCTGTAAAATCTTGAGAGAGGAGAAGCAACCTACTGTGAAAGAAAACTGAAGGAAAAAATACAAGAAAAAACCCAGAAGAGGCAGGAGCAGTGATGTGGTATCCAAGTATTCCTTCACTGTATGAAACTTCCCTGAAAGCACTTATCACCACATAACTGCAGCAGATTATGAAGTCTCATTACAAGCATCCCGTCAATGGAGTTAATCAATCATTCTACAAAAACCTATCCAAAAGTCCCTGTGCTGTCTGGTGCAGCATACATCCCGTTTGCTTTAGTGGAACTTCTGGACCTCACTGCAAAGGTTCTGTAATACAGTAAACTAAGCCAAATTACCATGTTGCAGCCATATACAGGATCCTCAACCACTGATCACAGCCTAGAAGGTTCAAACTACACTACCACAGCAAGTCTTGCTCCTCAATGGTTTGGCAACCACATTACTGGTGCAGTCAAAGCTTAGACTTATATATACTTGCTCCTTCCCAGAACTGAGTATATGGCCATAGAGGAGGGGTAAAATAAATAAGCAGCAAAATAATAATAATGAACAGTACACTTTAGGAATGGCAAGACAGATGGACAGGCCCAGAAGGGGAGATGGTCCCCAATGGGAAGTGTGCAAGTGAAGTTACAGATTCAATCTGTTGACAAACAATATGTGTGTTCAGGGAAACCAGATTTCCTAGAAGATGCATCTACTGCCATCTGCTCCTTTCTGCAATCTTCTTTAAAGCAAATAACAAGGAAACACCATCTGAATGACAACAAAGAGCTAACAAGTACAGCTTCTGGAGTTAAGTTATTGAGAATTAGCTGCTTGGAACTTAAAAAAAATAAATTAAAATGACAGAGCTGTCTTTTGTGAAGTGCTTCAAAACCTGAAGTACAATCACAATATCAAATCAAGACTGGAACCTAAAACTAATTAAAACCAAAACCAGAAAAACCCACCAAACAAAAAAGCCCAACAACAAACCAAAACCCCCACCACACTAACCCCCCCCCCAAATAAACAAACACCCCCATCCTAACCAAAACAACCCCACAACACCCCACAAGCCTCCAAAACAACAGGTCTGTTAGGAATGAGTTTTTACAGGAATGAAGCAAAAACCTGTAGGTGTCAACACTTCTATGGCAGCACCCACTTCAACAATGGATAACAGGTAAAAATAATATGACACTCCCAATGGTGCCTGCATTAAACATGGAGGAAAGGCTCTGCAAAGATGCTCTTCTAGCAAGACAAAAATAGTTCAATAGCTCAAATTTAATCCTGAAGCCAGAAAAGCGTAAAGATTTTAAGTGTCACACTTCTCAGGGAAATACAAAAGCCTTCCATTTTTAAGAACACCAAAATACTTTCCAAATGACAGACCAGAATAAGGAGATTTCTCCCCTTCCCCCAAGTGGGAATAATGTATCAGCTTGCAAAGAAACAGAAAGCTACTTCAGTTTTTAAGGCATTTGTGAAGAAAGGAGAAGACATGGTCAGCTGCAATAAAACGGGCAATAAAATGAGGTCCCCTTTGTGACCTTTGACAAATAAGCAGCCAAGTGCTTTACAGCAGTTGCACTGAAGTCTCTGAATACTTTTAATTTTACCTGTCCAGCATCCCTGAAAGATAAGGAATATGGCTTTATTTGCCATTTTACCAGGGCAGTCTCCATTATTTCTTCTTGAAACCAGAGAGCACAGACTAGCTAAACTGTAACTGCACTCTCCCTCCTCGTATAGACAAATGCCTGTGAGAGGCAGTTGCTGGGCTGGCACAGAACAAAAGTTAATATATAAGGATTCTTAATAAAAACTTACAGGTCATTTAGATCAGGCAAAATCATGAAGAGGCAAGGACTACTTCAACTGCACTGCACTCTAGCTTGCATAACGTTTTACAGAACAAACCAAACTCCTAAAACCCCACACATCCCCCCTGCCAAAAATAAAAAAAAAAACAATAAGCCCAAAACAAACCAACCAAAAAAAAAAAACCACTCCCAAACAAAAAGCCCAAACCAAACCGACCAACCAACCAAAAAAAAAAAAACAAACCCCACAAAAACCAACAAACCACCAGACACAGTACTTTACAGAGATCTTCCAAGCGGTCTTGTGAGAAACAATTTGTGTGGTTTGTGCTATGAGAACCAAGCCAGAATTTGTAAGGAAGGGCAACTGACTTCGGGGGGGAACATCACAGTGCTGGTGCGACATAAAATATGTGCTGCCCAAGCAAGCCTTCAAAAGCACCTCTACTCTAATCCTTCCTTCAAAGCAAACTGCAGGCTCTGCAGCTTACACCTGGATCTCGATTTACACTCAAATGTGAAAATCTACCTTCCCAGTTGGAATTTTCAGTTAAGTGTCTTACATAGTAAGGGGTTATTTACCATATCTCCTGGTCTGTCAGCAAATCCTCCTGTCTCCTCATCTTGGCAAGCCAAAATAAAGCAGCGCAACTTCTCTCTGTCAATCCAATGTAATCTACCAATCATCTTCAAAGATGCTAGCACCCACCACGAATAACATACATCAGGTAACTGGCAAGCAGAGAAGCAGATTATTATTTTTGTTTCAGACATGACACTGCAAATTTTATTGGCGATTCTGCAAATTACTAAGTGTGCTGTCACAATACTGTTGCAGAGAAACAACACTTGAAGAGCTTACTTGGAGTAAAAGAAAGAAAGTTCCTGGATGCAGTTGCTTTTCAGAGGACTTCCCTTTTTCAGGAAGGGAAAGTCTCTTTCTCAAACGTCTTCTCTTCTTCAGGAAACAAAACCACAAGAATGTGATTTTGAAGTGTTCTTCACCTTCTGTGGGAGAGGCTAAACGACCACAGCCCCTTTTTCAGGAGCAGGAAGTACAAAGAACTTCGTATCAATTACTTTTTTGGTTGGTTGGTTGGCTGGATTTTTTTTCCACGGCAAGGGGGGAGGCGATGGAAGGGGAAGGGGTTGGAGAGAGCAAGGGAAGCATTTTTAATTGGTTATCTATTTATCAGTTGAGATTATTCGAGGTCACACAATTCCCTAGTGTGATGAGGAACACTATTATACCCAGGATCTACACACAGGAAAACGGTAATTTTTGCACAAATTCTACAGAAGAGATCATTCCTGATGTCGGAAAATATTAAAGCCCTGATTTAACAGTATACTGGTTAAAGTAGTCAGCAAGACATACTTCCATATGAGTACCTTCCTAACCTGAGTACTCAGACTAAGCATAACTGAGGACTGCATGACAGATGTTAGTGACAAAATTAAAGAGTCAAAATGAAGTCCTGACTTCTTTGAAAAATTTATTAAATATTTCATAGAAGTCATGATGTTTTCTGGAAGTACTTCACTTTAGAAAAAATAATCTCTACTGAGGTTTGAGCAAAGAAGAAAAGCCACCTAATACCTTCTCTGGTCGTCCGTTGAGACCCCCGGAAGGTAACTGACGTTCACAAAGCCACCAACCCAGCAAGTCAACGTTTACTTGATGCAACTGGTCTGTTATAGCCAGGAATCCTGTGCAACAATAGATCTAAAATTACAGACATAAATTGGTTGTGTATTTAAAGACTATAGTTAGCAGACTAAATGCAGGAAGATCTCAAAGCAGGAGTATGGCCATGCAAACAATACAGAATAAGCATACACTTTAACTTTTTGTTTTACTTTTCCATTAGAAAAGTATGTTATTGATACAGCTGCATTGTATAAAAGTACCAACTATACGATATAATTACAGAACAGTAAGATTTTACTAATACAAGAAATTAATGCATTTGGAGGAAAATTCTAAAAGATCAGGCAGAGCCCTACAGTTTTATTTTAATATAATGGACTCGTGAAGCCAGAGAAGCCAAACCGGTTTCTGCAGGTGGGATATGGCCTATATGAAAATTCTGCATCCAGCATGTGGTTTATTCCTGTATGTGCCTCTTACCCAGCAGCTTGCAGACAGCAAACTAAAGACCTTCTAAGACATTCTCTAGAAACAGGTTAACCCTGACCTTTAACTATCCTGGCAATCCAACATTTATCTAGCCATGTCAGGCTGCTGCCGATGTGCAATGTAAAATATGTGCATTGATTAATCCGTGTTTACTTTTTTCTGGGAAATAACATTTACAGTGCAAGAGCATACAAGGAAGTTGTGAAGGTTCCATCCCTGGCAGTGTTCAAGGCCAGGTTGGACAGAGCCTTGGGTGACATGGTTTCGTGTGAGATGTCCCTGCCCATGGCATGGGGGTTGGAACTGGATGATCTTAAGGTCCTTTCCAACCCTAACTACTCTATGATTCTATGATACTCTGGTCACCTTTCATGCAGTCACTAGGAAAGCAGCCAAAGCACAAACCACAAGAGACCAAAACCTCAACTGAAAACCACTCATAATCACCTTTTCCTAATTAAAACACACACCCAAAATGACAACGAGAAAAAACAACAACAAAAGCACACATCAACAGGGATGTGCCTATCTGAGAACAGTAAAAAAGTAAATGTTATATTCCCAGAAAACTTTGAACTATTGTGCAGGCAAAGGAGTTGCGCTTTACAGCACTTCAAGGAGTATGTGAATATGCACAACAGATGTAATCCTTCCTGGAAACGTCAGCTGCGAAGAGAGTACGTTCAGCTACTTAACCTGACTTCCTTGAACAGCAGAACACGGTCCAGCCAGCTAGACCATACAGACAACCCTATACCAGTTGTTTTATTTTTTTCCCCTCCCCCTGAGAAGGTTCACATCTCATTTTTATTTGAGTTCAGCAGCTGATAAGTGTCAAACATAATACACAACAATTGACCTTTATGTTTCATCATTTGTGCACAGTGTACAACATCTCTATTAATACCAAATTCAAATTCTGTAAAAAATCCTTGTGCTAACTACTTCAACATCACTACGTGAAGACTGAAATACAGTCCTCTAAGTTATTCCCTTATGATATTAATCCCACACACACACTGTAATGTCCCAAATCTCTGATTTATCTAGCTACTTGCTCGTTTATTTTAACTAAGGTACTAGAATCAGGCATTTTGGAAACAAGAAAGGTTTATCAGTTGACATCCTTGATAGACACTGTAAAGAAACGCTTAAGGCAGCACACAATGCTTGTGATTTTAAAACATCTCCATATGGAGCAAAACTCACCTGTCCTGCATGCGATTCGGAACCTGGTCTACAACCAAATCCTCCATCAAAGTTCATACAGGACAAAACGAATTCTACTGCTTTTCCCACATCAATAGCATCCAGCCTTCCCTGCAAGTCAGAAAAGCAACTAATGCACTTTATATACTACCAAGCTTGTTATGTTCAGAAACTTCAGCAGTACCAAACAGAAGATTTTGCACTTCTACACATAACGATTTAGCACTTACCAGAAGTGCAAGAGTTGCTGCAGCACAGAATGAGAACCTTGTATCTATTTCTCCTAGAAAGTGAGGGTAGGGAATGAAATAAGAGTATTTTTATTAACAACAACAAAAATACATTTAGATCACCACTAAAAGCATGGAACAGTATGTTGAAGTACTAGGTTTTACACAGAACAAAAATCAGCAAAAAACTGCTCTTGTACTATTTCCTTTTCCAGCCCATGATTATTCCTCACTAATTTAGAAAGTGTACATTAGAACTGTTTTGTTTACTGCACATAAAAGCAAACAGTTTATAATAAGCTGGTGTACAGTCAGATAATATATCCAAATCACTTCAACTAGTGGTAATTTACAAATAACTACACAATTTTAGAGTTTCTGTAGTGTAGATAATCGCAGAGCAGTGGACTCAAAAATGCCCGGACACGACTCTTCATCTGCCTTAAATCCAGGCAGAAGTAGAAGCCACTTTTGTTTTTAGAGTAAGACTGATAAAAGTTACATACTTATATCTGGAAGCTAAACCAGAAAGGCCACATCTATAGCAGAATGATTGCTCAGGAAGTCCACACCAATGTAACTCTCCTCAGACAAACTCCAAGCAATTAATACTTGAAGTCAAAATTTGAAATTGAACCCATCCACACACAGGGTTTTTTTGGTTAAACTGATACAAGACTTTTCCTCTTCATCAATTTACAGGCTTATAAATACAAACCAAACCTGTGCTGTCCTACATCAGGTACCGCATTCCTTCAGTCGCAGTATAACTTCCTTCCACAAATAACATAAATCCATTGTGCATCTGGTATGTTTCAGTACTTGAATTTTATTAAAATGTAAGCATTCCATGGGCTATTTTCCATGGGACTAAATATTTATGCTACAGCATTAAAAAAACATCTTTGCTCATAAAGAATTTATGTGCAGAAACAAAATCAGTATTAAGAGAAGGTCATCAGTACAAACCCAATCTTTCTCATTCCCATATAGTGAAAGATGCTTTCACAGCTGACATGCATAAATACCGTAGCTGACTATCATTAAATAGCATGCAATTTTGTATCCCTTATGAAGTAGCTTATCTGGTGTATCAAAGCATTGTCAAGTTACAAATGCTCAAAAGTTTCCTTCTTTCAGAGTTGAACAATTTTAATACAAGAATAAACCTGAAGTTTACAGTATTTATGAAAGGAGTGAAACATATCTCTGCACTTCACAAAATCTCCTTTTTCGTAACTCAGAAATAAGTGTTCACAAACATAAGCAAAAAGATCATCCAAGGAAACTTAAGCTCACAGACTTAACACATGCCAACCAAGCCACTAAATTTTAATCATCTAAAAGTTACCCCATTTGTCTCCAGCAAATGATCCATCCTCTTTTTGCAAGCTCTGTATATATTCAACAATTTTATTTACATCAACAACATGCAGACTATCATATAAGATAAGAATCTGGGGGAAAAAAAAAGACACAGTAACAATCAAAGAGAGGCAAAAATTTTTAAAAATCTATTCCTTTAAAAAAACCTAAAAATCCTGGATTTATAAAAGACTTCATTTAACTGTGAATGCTACCTGATAATGTTTATTAAAGTAAAATGTCATTCACTGCAGTTCATCTATCTCTGCTTAAAAGCTGTTAAGAAAATCTTATTGTGAAGAAACACTTGAGTGCAAATATAGGCAATTCAAGCTGAACTCTTTCATACTTTGTTATTTTCCAACTTCCAGCTCACTTCTCAAAAGCATAAACAGGTTTATTTGTTTTTATGTCAGCATTATGTAGAACAGAGATTTAATGTATGGCTAATTTGACCCGGGGAATTACAGACCAGTCAGTCTCACCTCTGTTCCTGGAAAAATCTTGGAGCAGATTCTCCTGGAAGGCATGATAACGCACATGAAAAACAATAAGGTGCTTGGTGACAGCCAGCATGGCTTCACTAAGGGGAAATCCTGCTTGACCAATTTGGTGGCCTTTTATGATGGGGCTACAGAACTGATGGACAGGGGTAGAGCAGTTGATGTCTTCTGTCTGGATTTGTGCAAAGCGTTCGACACTGTCCCACACAACATCCTTGTCTCTAAATTGGAGAGACATCAATTTGATGAATGGACCACTCAGTGGATAAAGAACTGGCTGGAGGGCTGCACACAAAGAGTTGTGGTTAATGGCTCAACGTCCAGCTGGAGACCAGTAACGAGCGGTGTCCTTAAGGGATCGGTGTTGGGACCGGTCTTGTTTAACATCTTCGTCGCTGACATGGACAGTGGGATTGAGTGCGCCGTCAGCAAGTTTGACGATGACACCAAGATCTGTGGTTCGGTTGATCCGCTGGAGGGAAGGAATGCCACCCAGAGGGACCCTGACACGCTTGTGAGGTGGGCTGATGCCAACTTCATGAAGTTTAACCATGCGAAGTGCAAGGTCCTACACCTGGGTCAGAGCAATCCCAGCACAGCTACAGGCTGGGCAGAGAAGAGATTCAGAGCAGCCCAAGAAGGACTTGGGGTGCTGGTCGATGAGAAAATGAATATGAGCTGGCTTCAGTGTGTACTTGCAGCCCAGAAACCAACCGTATACTGGGCTGCATCCAAAGGAGCGTGACCAGCAGGTCGAAGGAGGTGATCCTGCCCCTTTATTCTGCTCTTGTGAGACCTCACTTGGAGCACTGTGTGCAGTTCTGGTGTCCTCAACATAAAAAGGACATGGATCTATTGGAACAAGTCCAGAGGAGGCCATGAGAATATTCAGGGGACTGGAGCACCTCCCATATGAAGATCGGCTGAGAAAGTTGGGACTGCTCAGCCTGGAGAAGGCTGCTTGGAGACCTCATAGTAGCCTTCCAGTATCTGAAGGGGGCATATAGGGATGCTGGGGAGGGACTCTTCATTAGGGACTGTAGTGATAGGACAAGGGGTAATGGGTTAAAACCTAAACAGGGGATGTTTAGATTATACATAAGGAGGAAATTCTTTACTGTTAGGGTGGTGAGGCACTGGAATAGGTTGCCCAGGGAGGTTGTGAATGCTCCATTCCTGGCAGTGTTCAAGGCCAGGCTGGATGAGGCCTTGGGTGATAAGGTTTAGAGGGAGGTGTCCCTGCCCATGGCAGGGGGGTTGGAACTTGATGATCTTAAGGTCTGTTCCAACCGTAACTATTCTAAGATTCTAATTTCGTAATAGTATAATGACATCCTAGACTTACAGATATGTAGTATGAGCACTGCTGCTACTTGGATATATGCAAGTAAGTTAAACTGCTTGTTACTAACAGCTCTTACAGTCCAAGCCTGTCAGCAATGATTAGTTTCAAATTATAAGATTTTTATTTACATTCACTTTTTCAAATATAATGAGGAGACCCAAACTGTAGTAACCAATGTATGAACAATATGAGTAGACAATAACTGTACAGTCAATATATTCTGGCAAAAAAAAACAGATGTCATAGGGAATATAACGTTTGCTGAGCTAGCACTGATCTGAGCCAGTAAATCCATATGACAAAGCAATACTGTTTCTGAGCCCCAGCCAACTTCCTGGTTTTACTCATAACTTGCATAATATGTAATGAAAGGAATTAAGAATTTATTATAAGTAGTATAATAGAAAGAAGAGCTCAAACTAAGCAGTATTATAGCACCAAGCCTGAAAAATACCAACAAGCATGACTTTGAACACCCAGAGTTAGCTGGAATCTTTCAACTGTTAGATAAAATGTAAGTCTTAAGGAAATGAAAAAAAAAAGAAAAAAAGCATACAACTCCAACAGAAAATATATAATTATAGCATACTCCTTAAAAAGCAAATCTGATGTGACATGACTCTTACATATTCTGGGTATGCCTGTTTGCTAAGAACATGCATGTTCATTAAGACATACTGTTTTAATGAACAAAAGTGTTATATCGGCATTTGCTAAAACTTCTCAACTTTGCACATCTAGAGCTTCATTCAGTTAGCACGAAAACATCCTCTAGTAACATCAAGTATCTACTTAAGAACGAACAACTCTAACAACCTCAGATTGTACCATCTTCTTATACTGCATTAGAATTTGTGACGGGAATTTGACTGGGCAATTTGGAACAGCACAGATGTCACAGCCTAAAGAAACTTTAGTTTCCTGGTTCTCACAGTACTCGAGTAATTCTAGAGCTAAACTGGTGATAAACTTCAGAGCAGATAATAAATGCCAGCACTTGCCACTAACCCAAGAAAACAGCACTCTTCTGTCCTGCCTAAGGCTTTCAAATCAAACACCTTAAATCCAACATACTTTCTTCCTAAAACAGGGTATCTTATTTATTTGTAACACCATTTATATATTTCTTCCGTAAGACTGGACCAGAGAGAAGTTATGCAGCAATAAAACAACAGTTCAGAAACATCTGGGCCTTTCTGGTATTTTTTTCTACAACATGAGTTTTCATGAGAAGAACAAAAGCAAAACTAACAAAAAAAACCCATAACAAAATAAACAAGAGGAGAGCAACAAATTAAATCTACAGTGGAGATGATGGCAGTAAAAAGATTAGCTTGAGAATTACTCTTTCTCAGGGAAAGAGTAGACACCATAGAAATCGAATGCTAAAGAGACTGGTATCATTTTTAAGTTATATACAAAAATGCAGATTTGAGGAACACAGCAAGAATAAAGTACTACAGTGGTTCTTTTTGTACAGTACTAATATCTAAGCACACTATGTATAATTATACATAGAGAAGAGATTCAGAGCAGCCCAAGGAGAAGGACTTCGGGGTGTCAGTGGGTAAGAAAATGAACATGAGCCGGCTTCAGTGTGCGCTTGCAGCCCAGAAACCAACCGTATACTGGGCTGCATCCAAAGGAGTGTGACCAGCAGGTCGAAGGAGATGATCTTGCCCCTTTATTCTGCTCTCGTGAGACCTCACCTGGAGCACTGTGCAGTTCTGGTGTCCTCAACATAAAAAGGACATGGAACTGTTGGAACATGTCCAGAGGAGGCCACAAGGATGATCAGGGACTGGAGCACCTCCCATATGAAGATAGGCTGAGAAAGTTGGGGCTGTTCAGCCTGGAGAAGAGAAGGCTGCATGGTGACCTCATAGCAAGCAGCCTTCCAGTACCTGAAGGGGGCATACAGGGATGCTGGGGATGGACTCTTCATTAGGGACTGCAGTGATAGGACAAGGGGTAATGGGTTAAAAATTAAACAGGGGAAGTTTAGATTGGATATAAGGAGGAAATTCTTTCCTGTGAGGGTGGTGAGGCACTGGAATGGGTTGCCCAGGGAGGTTGTGAATGCTCCATCCCTGGCAGTGTTCAAGGCCAGGTTGGACGAGGCCTTGTGTGATATGGTTTAGAGGGAGGTGTCCCTGCCCATGGCAGGGGGGGTGGAACTTGATGATCTTAAGGTCCTTTCCAACCCTAACCATTCTATGATTCTATAGTGCTAACATCTAGGCACATTATGTATAATTATACATATTACATAGTTTAGATATATACTTGTTTATAATTATTTGTTAATACATTATAATATCTATCAATCATAACCTACAGTAATGCATACATGAACAAATAAAATCCAAAACTTTACTCTTATTCTTGGCATACTTATCTTTCACCTCAATGTGCACTATAAGGATTTTTTTAAATCCAAATTTTATCTACCAAAAGCTCAAGCAAAGCCCGTAGCTAAGAAGCATTTAAAAAAAACTGCAGCAAAATTATTAAGAATGCATTAATTTCTCATTAAAAAACACAGCCTTCCAAAATCTGACCATTTTGTAGGAAACAATACAGCCAAATGCTAAAGTATTTTCTGTTTGATTTTTTTTTGTAAGAGGGAACTGTAATAGTTTTTCCGTTGGCATCTCACAGGGCCTGGATCGTCAGTCTGCAATCATCAAAAGCAGTAAATGCAATGGTTTCTTCTAAAATTACCCTGTTATATTTACCTGGACAGCACTGAGGGTATAGAGGAGATGAGGATCATGACCTATGCTGGCACTTATTCCACCACATTCATGTTGACATGATTCGATGAATTCCAGAATTTCTTCTTTATTCATTCGGTGCAGGTGCCCCATGAGATCCATTGCTGTCAGCCCCCAGTAAACACCACTCATCCTCAAATACTCTGACATACAGTATTCCTAAGTAATGCATTATCAGATAAGCACATAATCAGTAGAGAACCATGAAAATACTACAAACTGTAAACGTTAACTAATGTATGTCAACCATCTTTCATCCCATTAACAACTTACTACATAGCAGCTCCTCGCACATACTCTGCAGATAATGCATTTGTGCACATACGCACACATACAGGCACAGGTATATGCATGTATCTACCCGTACCACATTCCCTTCCTCCCCTGTTTTGTCTAGTTCAAAGTATCAAGCTCAGTATCAAACGCATATGGGTAGTTTAGCACCAATTCAGTTATTATCTTGGTATTCAAACTACCACCCAAATTACCACCCCAGCTAGTCTCAAAAATAACAAACCTACCATTTAATGAAAATGTCAAGTGCCAAAACCGCCACAATCTAAAGCTGCACTAGGAAATGAAATTTCATACTGAATTCTCTTCCCTCAATATCATCACCCACACCACCCATAAACATTGTTTTCTACTTTCTGAGCACAAAAACAATCTTAAGCAATACTGCTTAGAGTTCTTTTGTGGACAACAGAGGTAAATGCATGGTTTCTTCAGACACAAGCAGTTATTGACATCTTTCATCTGCTGGGACTGGAATAGTGTGTGGGCCTGATGGCCCAAAGCTATAAAACTGTTGTTTGTTAAAGTGTTTCTCAAACCCAGGAAGCATAGGGCAGTACTGTGGTGGGATTCAGCATGCTGTCCCATCAAAACAGCAACATGTAAATGTAGCTATAGTCTTTGTGCATTCTAGCAGGTGAAGATGAAACAAGCAGCTCATTTCTCAGGTCTCAGAGTAATTCTAGAGCTAAACCAATAATCTTCAAATTTACACTCCGATAATACATGCCAAAACTCATCACAGACCTCGAGATATTAATAAAGCCGTCCTTCTTTTATAGTTGGGATTGCAGGGCAAGAATGAACTGGCTTGTGAGCAATAGTCATAATACAAGGGTATTATGACTATTAACATCACAGCTGTACTGACACGAGTCGATACCTACATAATCATCTTTCTTTGTTCCATACGAAGCTATATAGTCCGCGTGTTTCTCCGAGAGCAACGTGCTTGGGGCATCGGGTTTTATCACAACATCCTTTTGGGGTGTCCCCTGTAAGAAGTACCAACAAAACCCCGGCTGCGCGGTCAGTTCAGGCTGCGGCACCTGGTTGTAATCCAGCCGCCACCAGGACACGGACAAACCGACACGCCTCCGTTGTGAACGCAGGCTGACCTGGTGCCCCAAGCGCTACTTTCCCAGCCGGGCTACGGCCACCCCCCCACCGAAGAAAGCGAGCGGAACCCTCCCGTAAAGCTCAGCGGAGCCGCCCTTCGCCACGAGCAACCCGAAACACCAGGAACCGCGGAACCCTTCTCCACCGCCAAGGGGCCGGACCGGGTCACCACGCCGCCATTCCCGGGCCAGGCCCGCTCTGGCCCCGCAGGGCCGAGAACCACACATAGGGCCGCCCCCAGCCCGTCAAGCGAAGCGGAGCGCGACTGGAAGCCTGCGCGTCCCCCGGAGGAGAAGGCGCAGCCTCGGCCTACCCACCAGCCCCAGGCCGAGCCCTCTCACCGACGCGCCCAGCGATACCCACCATCTTGGCCGCCTGCACCGGAAGGAGTGTGGCGCTGCGGGGCGGAGCAAGGCGGGGCGGAGGCGACAGGGCCTCGCTATGGCTGCCTTAGGGACGCCCGAAGGCAGCTGCGGTCATGGCCCGAGACCGTGCCAGGCGAGACGGCAGCCCGAGGTACCGCCAGAGGGGCCTGCCGAGCCGAGCGGCGCCTACAGCTACCTGTGCGGCCCAGCCGCCATCGCCTCCCGGTGGGTGGCCCTACCGCGGGCCGCGGCTTTCCCACAGGGGAGAGAAGGGGCCGGGCGAGTCGTTCAGGGCTGGGCCACGCTGCGGGGGTGGGCCCCGTCCCACTCGGCGCCTGGAGCCGTGGGAGGGGCCACTCCGGGGCCTCGGGGTGCACGGTCAGTTTTGCACAGCTAAAGGTCACCTTGACACGGGGGAAGCGGGTGGATTTACATACACTGACGGCAGCTGCAGTCACAGCCCATTTAGACATGGGTCCGGTTTCCTTTTGTGACCTCAGTTCCCAAATCCCAAGATTTTACCTAGAGAAGGTAGGGATAACTTCAGTTCAAAACCACCCTTTGCTACCTGGTTAAAACTGCACAAGATGATTATGTGTTGACCAACACCTGATGCTGCCAGGTGTCCCGCAGAGAGCTATACAAGGCAGGAGCACCCCTGCAATTCCATGAAGAAGTACAATGTGCAGTGCTGGCTTGCACGGAACAGTTAAAATTAAGGTCTATTTTTACATATATCAAATACTTTCCAAGGATGTTGCATCATCAGTCTTCCTACAGGTAAAGAAGTTGGTAATTTATAGCAATTAATCACTGGATCTTGAAGGAGAGGTAGGTGAGGATGTGGTGCAAGGCCCGCCTACAAGGCCACATAGGAAAAAGCGGTCGACTTTGCACTTCAAGACTGCCTCTGGTAAGAAAGAAAGAAGGGTCATTGTAGTAGGTGATTCCATTCTGAAAGGAACAGAGGGCCCGATATGCAGAGTTGACCCTCATCATAGGGAAGTGTGTAGTCTGCCTGGAGCCCGGATCAGGGATATCACCAGGGCGCTCCCCAACCTGGTGCACCCGACAGACTACTACCCGCTGCTGGTCTTTCAGACGGGTGAGGGGGAAGCTGCTTCCCGCAGTCTGAGGGGGATAAAGAAAGACTACAGGGCCTTGGGGCAGATGGTGAAAGACTCTGGGGCTCAAGTGATCTTCTCTTCGCTCCTTCCATCTTCTATTGATGATGTGGGACTGAATGAGAAAATACAGTCCATAAACGATTGGCTTCGAGGCTGGTGCTGCAGGCAGGGCTTTGGATTCTTTGATAACGGCTGGTTTTATAGGGCACCAGTCTGGACGTTGGCATGTGGGAAAGGTTTATCGCACAGAGGCAAAAGGATGCTGGGGCACGAATTAGCAGGGCTCATTTGGAGAGCTTTAAACTAGATTTGAAGGGGGATGGGGTTGTAGCTGGGCTTGCCTCAGTGGGACAGCGCTCCAGAATTGATGAAGACTGGGAGGCCTCCTGTAATCCTAGGGTGAAATCGGTGTGCTCGGCTCGCTCCCTGAAATGTCTGTACGCCAATGCGTGCAGCATGGGAAATAAGCAGGAGGAGCTAGAAACCTGTGTTAAGTCGGGAGATTATGACCTGGTGGCAATTACAGAGACGTGGTGGGACAGCTCACATGACTGGAATATAGTCATGGAGGGCTATGTTCTTTTCAGGAAAGACAGGCCAGCCAGGCGGGGTGGTGGGGTTGCTCTTTATGTGCGAGAGCAGCTACAATGCGTTGAGTTCTGTCTGGGGACAGATGATGAGCGAGTTGAGAGTCTGTGGGTGAGAATTAAGGGGCAGGCTGGCAGGGGAGATACTGTTCTGGGGGTCTGTTACAGGCCACCGGATCAGGGTGAGGAAGTTGACGAGGCCTTCTACAGGCAGCTGACAGCGGCCTCACAGTCACAGGCTGTGGTCGTCGTGGGGGATTTTAACTTCCCTGATGTTTGCTGGAAGGACTACTCGGCAACCCAGCCGCAGTCCAGGAGGTTCCTCCAGTGTGTGGATGATAACTTCCTCATGCAAATGGTGGACGAGCCAACCAGGAGAGGTGGGCTGCTGGATCTCATCCTCACTAACAAGGAGGGTCTGGTCGAAGCAGTGAAGGTTGAGGGCTGCCTTGGTTGCAGCGACCACAAGATGGTAGAATTCAGGATCTTGTGTGGTAGGGTCAGTAGAATAGCAAGTAGAATCGCAACCCTGGACTTTAGCAGGGCAAACTTTGGCCTCTTCAAGCAATTGCTAGGGGAAATCCCATGGGCTAGGCTGCTTGAAGGTAAAGGGGCCCAAGATAGTTGGTTGACGTTCAAGGACTGCTTTTTCTGAGCTCAAGATCAGAGCATCCCGACACGTAGGAAGTCGAGGAAGAGGGTCAGGAGACCTGCGTGGCTAAATAGGGAATTGCTCGGTATGCTCAAGTGAAAGAGAAGAGTTTACAGGTCATGGAAGGAAGGGCTGGCCAGTTGGGAAGAATATAAGGCTGCTGCTAGAGGATGTAGGAAAGCTGCTAGGATGACTAAGGCCTCCTCGGAATTAAAGCTGGCGAGAGGGGTCAAGGACAGCAGAAAGAGCTTTTTCAAATACATGGCAGGTAAAACTAACACCAGAGGCAATGTAGGCCCGCTGACGAACGGGACGGGTGCCCTGGTGACAGAAGATACAGAGATGGCAGTTACTGAATGACTTCTTTGTCTCTGTCTACTCTGCCGGAGGCAGTCCTGAAGAGCCCTGTACCGCTGAGACCTCAGGTGAAGACAGGTCAACGGAGCGGTCTGCCTTAGTCGATGAGGAATGGGTTAAAGACCAGTTGAGCAATCTGGACATCCATAAATCCATGGGTCCAGATGGGATGCACCCGCGGGTGCTGAGGGAACTGGCTGAGGTCATTGCTAGACCGCTCTCCATCATCTTTACCAAGTCTTGGGAAACGGGAGAGGTGCCTGAGCACTGGAGGAAAGCAAATGTCACTCCTGTCTTCAGAAAGGGCAAGAAGGAGGACCCGGGTAACTATAGACCGGTTAGCCTCACCTCCGTTCCTGGGAAAGTGATGGAACACCTTATCCTTGGTGCCATCTTAAGGCATATCAAGGATAAGAGGGTTATGAGGGGCAGTCAACATGGCTTCACCAAGGGGAAGTCGTGCTTGACCAATCTCGTAGCCTTTTATGAGGAAATAACACAGTGGATGGATGATGGCAGAGCGGTGGATGTGGTCTACCTTGACTTCAGCAAAGCGTTTGACACAGCCTCCCACAGCATCCTCGCAGCTAAATTGAGGAAGTGTGGTCTGGATGATCAGGTAGTGAGGTGGACTGTGAACTGGCTGAAGGAGAGAAGCCAGAGAGTTGGAGTCTATGGGGCAGAGTCTAGTTGGAGGCCTGTATCTAGTGGAGTGCCTCAAGGGTCGGTACTGGGACCAGTATTATTTAATATATTCATCAACGATTTAGATGAGGGAATTGAGTGTACTATCAGCAAGTTTGCTGATGACACTAAGCTGGGAGGAGTGGCCGACACGCCAGAAGGCTGTGCTGCCATCCAGCGAGACCTGGACAGGCTGGAGAGCTGGGCGGGGAATAACTTGATGAAATATAACAAGGGAGAGTGTAGAGTCCTGCATCTGGCCAGGAACAACCCCAGGTTCCAGTATAGATTGGGGAACGACCTGTTAGAGAGCAGTGTAGGAGAAAGGGACCTGGGGGTCCTGGTGGACGACAGGGTGACCATGAGCTGACACTGTGCCCTTGTGGCCAAGAAGGCCAATGGCATCCTGGGGTGTATTAGAAGGGGGGTGGTTAGTAGGTCGAGAGAGGTCCTCCTTCCCCTCTACTCGGCCCTGGTGAGACCCCATCTGGAATATTGTGTCCAGTTCTGGGCCCCTCAGTTTAAGAAGGACAGGGACCTGCTGGAGAGAGTCCAGCGCAGGGCAACTAAGATGATTAAGGGAGTGGAGCATCTCCCTTATGAGGAAAGACTGAGGGAGCTGGGGCTCTATAGTTTGGAGGAGACTGAGGGGTGACCTTATTAGTGTATATAAATATATAAAGGGGGAGTGTCACGAGGATGGAGCCAGGCTCTTCTCAGTGGCAAGCAATGATAGGACAAGGGGAAATGGGTACAAACTGGAACACAAGAGATTCCACTTAAACTTGAGAAGAAACTTCTTCTCAGTGAGGGTGACAGAACACTGGAACAGGCTGCCCAGGGAGGTTGTGGAGTCTCCTTCTCTGGAGACATTCAAAACCCGCCTGGACACGTTCCTGTGTAACCTTATCTAGGTGTTCCTGCTCCAGCAGGGGGATTGGACTAGATGATCTTTTGAGGTCCCTTCCAATCTCTAACATACTGTGATACTGTGATACTTTACTTAATGAACTAATTTCCTAGGTGGCCTACCTGAGAAATAAGCATTGCAGAACTGATAGCAGGGTGGCTGCAGGTACTTGTACCACCCAGCACTGCATTCAGGTGATGGATGAAAAACCACGGCAAGGCAAGGACAAGTAGGTGGGAAATTGCAAATGAATTTTGCACATAGGATGGTTGTGGTTTGAAGGGACCTCTTGAGACTGAGTGTGACCCACCTGCCCGAGCAGGGTCAGCTAGATCAGGCTGTCCAGGACTGTCTCCAGGTGAACTCTGAGTATCTCCACAGATAGAGACTCCACTACCTCTGCCTGTGTATGACATCTCTCACAATAAAAAAAATAAATAAAAAAAACCGCACATCTTCTCATGTTGCAGTGGAATATTGTGTGTTTGAATTTGTGCCTACTGCCTCTTACCGACTCCGGGAGCACTACTGAGGAGAGCCTGGCTCCCTGCTGTTTGTTGCATCCCATCAAGGAATGTACGCACATACGTAAGACTACCCCGAGCCCTTTCTCATCCAGGCTGGAAAGTCTCAGCTTCTCCCTGCATGACAGATGCACCAGTCCCTTAACCATCTTTGTGGCCCTGTGCTGAGCTCCCTCTAGTTAAGTCTATCTTTCCTGTAGTGGGGAGCCTGGAACTGAATGCAGTACTGCAGGTATGGCCTCACAAATGCCAAGTAATCTGTTCTACAAGTCCAGGGGATGTCCACCTGCCAGCACTGCCACAACAATCGATCCAAGGTTAAAAAAAAAGTACATCTTGCAACACTTCCTTCTTCTCAGCTGTTCTTCAGTTACACGCTGATGGAAAGGAATCATAGGTTTAAATACACTTGATTTGAAATAAACAGAATTGCTAAGACAGTCTGAAGGAAAGCTACACATGTTCACTTGAAGTGAATTATCCTAATTGAACATACACTTGCTTAAGGAGTGTAGTAGCACCAAAGGCCACATTGTCTCTGGCTGGTATTGTTACTACTGCAGAATGTTGAAATCCTCAGAGCAGGCACAGTGCAGATACCAGCGATGCCAGCCATCATCACCCTGCTGAGCTTGGGGGGCTGCTCAGCTGCTGTGGGCTGTAACCTAGTGGGAACTGGACTGCTTTTAACATGACACTGGACAACTTACCCAAAATACTGTTTAAGTGATGAACAAAAAACAATCACACTACTCTTAAAAAAATATTTATTAGAATGCAGCAATGACTGTCAGAAGTAACATTCTGATCATGTAATTTTACAGCAAGGAAGTATTGTGAGGTTCTCATTCCTTGCCCATTTGGTATTTCAACAACCGATCACTTTGGAATTCAGAATGTTTAGAAAACATCAGCTTTGCTAGTCAGGAGTGGAGTGAAGGATTGGACAGAGAGAACATAAGTACTGCTTAATAACACAGAATAAAAAGATTTTGAAGGCAAGTGTGTTGTTTTCTTTTTCTCCAGGCCTCTTTAATTCTATTGAGAAATGCACTAAAATCCTCTTCCATGAGAACACAGAACACTGCAGTGGCACCAGACACACTTTATATGTTTCTTTAAGCCTTAAATTTGCCAACATGCTCACGAGCTATGATCATCCTTTGAATCTGAGCAGTTCCCTCATAAATCTGAAAAGAAGAAATAATATTAGCTGATGATTTTTTACAAGGTTTTAATACACCTACACTTTTAAACCTTCAGGGCAGTAATCCAGTGTGGATTAGGATGTACAGAAAGACAGAGAAAGTCGAGAAAATTCTAGTGCGACAGAGCACCTTAAGTGGGCTAAATGGAATAACTCGCATACAAGACCATGAGAGACAGTCTTGTTTTCTCAGTTGCCCTTACCTAAATTCACTATGGCTCTTGTGGAAATAGACATGGCAGGTGAAGAAGGATGAAGAAAATTGCTTAGGTGAGGAAGAAAATGCATAATTTAGTTTTTTACAAAACAAGATTTGGAACATCAGATGGAGGGGAGGAGATGACTTGTGTTGAAGTGTTGTATTTTCTTTGACTGGCCTTTCAAGTTCATACCAAATGTTGTCTTTGATGCATCCACTTATTTCCATTGCTTCTTATTAACTGGTACTTTCCCCCATACAGTTTTATTTGGGTTTTGTTTTGTTGTTTAGGGTTGTTTTTTTATTTTTTTTTCAATCATGTGTTCTTGCATTTTCCTCCAGAAACAGTCTGCATCACACTTCTGTTCTATTTGTTTGCTAGCACCAAAGTCAAAGATAGACAACAAGCCATATATGAAACTCTAATGCCAGAGGAGGCAAAATGCTCCCCAGGCATACTGCAATGTAATGCAAGGGCTGAGACAACACAGTTCAGGGCTTTAAGTGTTTCAGCTCACAGTTCTGCCAGAACCTGGTTTGGCAAATTGCTCAAATTCATGCAAATTCCATTTCTCATCTACTTAGAGGAATAATCTTCCCAAGAACCTTACAGAACCATAGAATAGTTAGGGTTGGAAAGGACCTTAAGATCATCAAGTTCCAACCCCCCTGCCATGCGCAGGGACACCTTGCTCTAAACCATATTACCCAAGGCCTCGTCCAACCTGGCCTTGAACACTGCCAGGGATGAAGCAGTCACAACCTCCCTGGGCAACCCATTCCAGTGCCTCACCACCCTAACAGGAAAGAATTTCCTCCTTATATCCAATCTAAACTTCCCCTGTTTAAGTTTTAACCCATTACCCCTTGTCCTACAACTACAGTCCCTAATGAAGAGTCCCTCCCCAGCATCCCTATAGGCCCCCTTCAGATACTGGAAGGCTACTATGAGGTCTAAAAGGCTCCAAAGCTTTTTGAAAATAAAGACACTATAATCTGCGTTCACATTAGTTTTTTGATTCAGAAGAATCTGTTCATTCCCAAAGTGAATTCCCTCACTGCTGCTGCTCAGCACGTGTTGATCCAGTTCATAAAGCAGACTGTGTTCTGCGGATACTAGGTACCTTTGTAGCAAACTGAAGTGGCAGACCCGCATTCTCTATATACCAAATACCCACCAATCTCTCATCAAGACCTAATGTCCAAGCCTACATCTGGGCCCTTACACTTACATGCATACTGGTGACATATAGTCCAAGGGACCAGACAGGCCTGCTATGAACTCAACCTGTCCAAACTGCTGATGGTGTAGCTGCTGCAGCCTCAGCACCTATTCCTGCAATCTACTAATCTGCTCCTATAGCACTTAATGACTTGTGGATGAAGACAGCTGTGGGACTCGTGTAAAGACATCAAAACTCACGATCTTCTTAAGTAAGGTTTTGGTTTATAAGCGGATGGAAATGGTTTCAGGAATCATTGACAATTAAAGAAGGGAAGCTTCCCAAATCTGAGTGAGGAAACTAAGATTTTCTACCAGAGTAGCGAAGATCTGTAGCAAGACAAACCTAGAGCAGAGTCAGGACATGTAAAAATGTTACCAGTAAACATGGTGTGTGTGATACTGAAGGAGATCAAATATATAGAAAAAAAGTTGGAAACCTGAGTTTTTGTACATGAAACATTGCCAAAAGCATATACCACCTGGAATCGGGCAGCAATACAGTGGAGCACAGTGAAGTGCCAGGTATAATCAAAAGACGCAGACAAAATAATTGTAAAGCCAACAACTCATGAGGAAAAAGGTGAAGAAGCTGCTTTAGTGTTCAGGCGGAGAGGAAAGCTGAACTACAAGGCAGGCACCAATCCAGGATACATATGGAAGGTCCAAAGATTTCTATCACTTTAGGTTTTTAAGAACAGCATTAGATGTAAACCATCTTGACTGCCAGAATACCAAAGACAGTGTTGGTATTTTGATTGCTCTTTTCTACTACTCTTCTTTTTTTTTAACCTTAAAAATTCAAAAGCTTCAAAATTAAGAATCCAAGAATTTCAGAGAGTTACCTTACTGGGAAAAAAATAAAAATAGAAGAACTATAACGTATTTCTCTTACCTGAGCTGAGTTTCAATCCAGTGCACTGACTCCTGTATGCAAGAATTTGCCTGATTTGAATGAGTCTTTTTTCAAATAGAAGGGTCACTGCTTTCATTCGAAACTTTCTTCTTTTTTTGGATACACATACATCATGATTTGAAGTAACAGCCATTACTTTATTTTATATGAAATGTATGCATTACTATAAAGGTCACATCCTCTGTTTTACTTACCTGGTAGATTTTAGCATCTCTCATCAGTTTTTCTACAGGATATTCAGTATTAAATCCATTTCCTCCAAAAATTTGTACTGCGTCTGTAGCTACTTGGTTTGCAATGTCACCAGCAAATGCCTTTGCAATGGAAGCATAGTAGGTATTCCTGCGACCAATGTCAACTTCCCAAGCAGCTCTCTGGTAAGCCATCCTAGCCAGTTCCACTTTCATTGCCATTTCAGCAAGCAAGAAAGACACTGCTTGGTGCTGTAAACAATGAAATAAACCAGGTTAACACTGCCTGGTTAACACTCCAAGACAAACATAATCCTAATACAGTGATCTCTTCAACAAACTCAGTAAATTGTACTACACTTCTTCAGAATATGGATCAGCGTCTCAGCACTGTATGTTCAATTAGACTTCTAAGTTTTTCATTCTCAAATCCATTTAGTCATAGGGATTAAATACTGAATTATGAGGTTGTTCTTTATTATTTATGAGATTGGCATTTATCTTGCTTTTTATTCATATTTCTTTAAAACTGGTAAGCAGCGTGATAGACAGTATATTCTATTAGTATTAATGCTGTGTGTTATTTCACATACCTTAGAGTTTTTTCCCCTTTCCTGAAAATCCCAGTTTATTAATGCTGAAGACCTTAAGTATGGCCTGTACATGAGTTTCAGGTTTTTGGGCAGAGTTTAGTTTCTGCTTTTACTATAATCACTGATAAATTATGGAAAGTTGCCTCATAGCTAAGTTTACTGAAATGGTTCTGGCCTATATACTCAGAAACCCTAAAATGGCAGAGATACAATATAAAAATTAATAAACTGAGTAAATCAATTAATAATCTTGAAAAATCAGTAGTAGTACATCTGGTGTGAAAACATAGCTTCTACTTATATTCCCCTGCCCCCCTCACTTACTTCAACAATTGGTTTCCCAAACGTTTTTCTCTCCAAAGCGTATTTAGTAGCTTCATCAAGTGCTCTTTTTGCTAATCCAACAGCACCAGCTGCTACCTGAGTTGAAAACAGCACAGACTAAAAAAATCAGGGATTCCTGCTATACTTTATAATTAAGTTATTTCTGATACTTACAGGTGGTCTGGTCTTATCAAAAGCTCCCATTGCTATTTTAAAACCAGCTCCTTCAGCTATTAGTACATTTTCTTTTGGGACTCTCACATCTTCAAAGACAATACCTCTTGTATCAGAGCAGCGTTGACCCATATTAATTTCCTGAAATGGGAAATTTATAGAGGTGAAAATAAATTGGATTATGCAAAGGAGCAATATGCTTTCATTCTTTAGTTTACTCAAAGCATAAGGTATGTTTTTTTTCCCAAAACACTTCATCCAAAAATTACCCTATACATGACAAACACTAGATTTGCACTTGAAGACCAGCATGCCCTTAACTTTTCTACGATGAGCAAGTTACTTTCTCCTTATATGTAAACAGTCTGTAGCCGTCATCAGTCTTGTTGTCTTTCTCTAGCTGAACTATATCCTTTGAGATGGGAGTGAAAAAAGTAAAGAATCTAATATGCAGGCAGTACAGGGTACTACAGGTAAATAAACAAGCTTTTCAAGTTTCTTGATTCCTTTCCTAATGTTCAACATCCAGTTTTGCTTACTACAAAAAAAAAAAAACAAAACAGTACTTTTTAATGAGAAATAGCACTAGTGTCTCCAAGGCCTCTTCCTCAGCCAGCAGTAACTAAAATTAAAGTTCACTTGGCTAAAGCTGTCAAACTTGCATCTTATCCTTTCAAGGCATACTACTTCTCATTTATTGGCACTTGTCAATAAAATAGTTCTCAAAGATTCTTTCGCAGCTGTTCAAAGGCAGGTTGCTTTAGACCAGTCTGAATAATTCCTTATCTGAATGAATAACTTTATAATTAAGTGCATCTTATAAATAGCTCCTGTATATTCTGAAACTGAAAAGACTGTTGTACATGAGTATATAAAATGCGCAGTTGCATAACAGTCTTTTTTCTTTAATGGCAATTTGTTGCATTATCAGTTTAGAACTGAATGATAAAAACAAAAGATCCAGTCTTCACCTTTCTTCCAACTTGGATTCCAGGGCTATCTGCTTCCACAATGAATCCAGTAAAGGCTTTGCTTGCAGGAACTTTTGGATCTGGATTGGTACGTGCTAGCAAAAAATACCTAGTGTAAAACAAAGAAGAGGGATGCAGTTTATCCTCACAATTAACAACCAGATACTTTTCTAGCTAACATTTTAAGTGGTTTTATGTGCATTTCTATGATATAATAGATTCTATCTAAGTTAAAAATTCTTTCTTCTTGTCCCTTGCAAAAATAAACAGAGAGCATGAGAAAGTTTCAGAGAATCAAGATTTCATAAAATTTAATAAAATTACTTCAGATAAACATGCAAAGATTCTCCACCTTTTCCATGTACTGTAAGTCTTTGTGGTATTATCAGCTTCATGAATAGTACAAAATAAATCTATTCACAGCACATACATAAAAATTAATGTTTTGGAAATATGTTCTTGCATGCAAAATATTATCACCTAATTTCAAAGATCTTAATTTTATTCTTCTAAGTGTAGGTTGCAAATAAGTATTTCTCTTAGAAATTAAGCAGTTGTAAATCACATACATGGTGTTCAGTACTGTCAAAAGACATCTGGTAGACTGCCTTTGATAGAGCTGCCTTGAACAAGGAAATAATTAACTAGAAAATTCGGCTTTTGGATAAACATATTAAGTTTTTTCACTTGAATTAAGAAGAATTTATGTGCTGTGGATAGGCATGATGTGAGACATAACCAAAGAGGTTTATACTGTAAAGCATGCTCCATATACACCACAGCAATAATGTTTCTAGCTTCACTAGAAGTGAGAGGTGTTTTGAGCAGAATCACTGATCTCAGTCACAATAACTATGAAGCAATGCGGCCAGCAATATGAGCCTCTTGAGTACTTGGCAAGTTAAATTAAACTGGTGCTGTCCTGCCCTGAAGAAAAAGCAGAACTGATTTCCTTTGACAGCAGAAAGATTCAAGAGGCCTTTTTGAGTGAGGAGTTGTCATATCAAGCCTCATTTCCCTTTTTAGGCTTTGCACAGCACTGAGACTAGATTCTTGTATCCCACACAAGAGGCTAAAGCGTGTCTGTTGAAACACAACAAAGATTTAGATTTCTAACAAATCTTTAAAGAACTTAACTTTGAGGGCAGAAAGCCACTATATAACAGAAATAAGAGTTAACAGTTAACACACCAGTTTGCTTTCCCACCATTTGTGATCCACATCTTCTGACCATTAATAACATATTCATCTCCTTTCTTCTCAGCTTTTGTTTTTATACCAGCCACATCAGAGCCTGCTCCAGGCTCTGTTACACAGTAAGCCTAAAAGAAAATATGTAGAATCTTGAGGAATGAAAGTTCTGTTTTTAGGCAACCACAACCTATTGAAGGCTACATGCACCCTGCTGATCTGTAAAAGTTTTAAGTGAACTGCCTGGTAAACTCAAAAATATACTACTACTACTGCTAATAATACCCACAAACCAACCCAACCACTCAAAGCACCCAACAGCTAGATCCTTCACTAGAATCTAAACATACATGGGTTAATTTTCTTTATAAATCTGTAAGAGTACATAAAATTATCTTTTAATCAAACAACCATTCTGTCATTACTTCCTCAGGCTTCACAAACTGATATGAAAGGTGAGGATCTTTGAAATGTGAAAATAAGGGCAGAGTAACATTTTATGTTTATTGCGTCCTTCATGAGGCTTAGTTGTTCACATTTTAATGCACTGCACATGAATGTTTACTTCTTTCTATGTAACAAGTACTGCTTTTATAATATTTAATATCACAAATAGTTTAATTCCCCTGCAAGGTAAGTTTCTCTTTATACAAACCTTGTATTTTTCTTAAAACGTCTACATATGCTCTCAAAAGGGAAATAAAATGCATTAACTTTTTGTAAGTGACTTAGGATGGGGATAATTTGCCAACTTATAACTTCTATTTGAGTACTTAATGTATCTCATTAGCTATTCCCTGACTTTCAGTAAATGCCACCATTTATTTACAAACAAAAATGAGCCAAGTTGTAAGTTGTGCGTTTTCTGGGAGAAAAAGTAAAGAAAAAAAAAGACAAAAAAGAAAAAAAAAAGGAAAAAATTAAAGAAAAAATAAAAAAGAGGAAATACCATTAATCTGGTTTAGGAACATTCTACAAGGATGCAGTTATACTTACACACATCATTGGCTCCTCTGTCATTCTTCCTAAGTACTTTTTCTGCTGCTGCTCATTTCCTGCAATGATTACTGGCATTTGCTGAAAGAAAATATTTAGACCATTAATCCCTATTTTTAAAACACACAGATTCTAGTTTAAAGAGCATAAGAAAAGGCAGAACTTACCCCTAGGGAATTTGCTTCAATGGCAGTCTGAACCCCTGTACATCCATAAGCTAACTCTTCTGTAATAAGGCATGCTTCAAAACTGCCAAGGCCAAGACCACCTACAGTTGAAATACTTCATTTATTAAAATGGGTTTAAATTGTAACATACTAGTGATTTACACAAATTAATTAACAACAACACATTCCCCCACATTCATCTGCTTGTGTACCACGCTTGGCAAGCCATTCTCACACAAGCTTTTTAAAAAAAGTTTTGTCAGAAAAGTAACGTGATTTGAAAATTAGGAATCACAGTTGCAGGGTTACTGTGTGAATCATGTGGGACAAGGTGCACAAAGTGGCAAGAATATACCACTACAATTTTCTTACTACTTTACATTTGAGAATTAAGAGTTCTCAGGAAAGCACAGCACTTAGGGGAAAGCAAAAAGGAAAGTGTCCACAGTAGTCAGATAACCAGCTCAGTAATCAGTCTCTGACAGGAGCCAACACTTTGGGAAGTAAATACAAATATAGTAACAATGCAACTTTACTTCCTTAAAAGTATTTTCCTGACCCTTCAGCTGACTCCCTCAGCCAAAGAGATGCCTCTTTTTGGCATCTTTGCTATACTTAACCCTTGACAGATATTTCTTGTGTGAATTTGCCCAGTCTCTTTTTGAATCTGTGTAAAATTTTAGCATCAATATCATCTGGGACAAAGAGTTTCACAAATTAACTACACACTGCATGTAGAACCATCTCCTTTCACTTATTTTAAACCTGCCATCTGCTGACTTAATTTGATGCCTTCTAGTTATACTGAAAGGGACAGTGAATTATTAATCTCTTTTCACACTCTCCATGACACTGATATTTTTAGTCATTTCTCATACAGAACATTCACCTTTTATAATCTTTGTCATCCTTTTAGGAACCTTTTCCATTTCCACAATACTCTTCTAAGATAGAAGGATCTGACTACATAATGAATTAGAGGCAAGTGCAATTTAGATTCAGGCAGCAGCATAATTATGTCAGCTGCTTTTTTCCTCATTCCCTTAAAGGTCCCTTCTGGCCTTAAATTTTACAGTTTTGACCACTTCTGGGCACTATGCTGACATTCACATAAGCACGTTAGAAACACCTAAATGTCTTCTTTGAAAGGTAGTAACTAGTTCAGAAGATACTGTTTCTCTGTGAAGTTCAGATAGCTTATTTCCTTTCACATGTGCATCCCTCCTTTTTTGAATTGCATTTGCAATTTTAACAGTTGCTGAGTTTCATGACCTTCTCCTGCACCTCTCATCTTTTCTACACTGAATAACTTAGTATGATAAATTAACTCTATCATCTCAGTATTGACCCCCTTTTACAGTTTATTTATACACATTCCAAATAGCACAAGACTCAGCAAGGCTATGCTGCTAATTTTTCCACTATGAAACCTGATGATTTTTAAAACTCGTTTTGGAAGTTCAAACATTCTGTATCAACCAGGCAAGGCATCCCCTTGTTCACACACTTACTAGCTCTTCAGAGAACTCCAGTGATTTTTACGAGGCATGATTTCCTTTCACAAAACCCCTTCTCTAGCATACCATGTTTATCTCGTCTACTATTTCTGTACTTCACCTTACTTGCTCTTAATTTCCGTGGTATATGAGGCTTACTAGTATGTATTTTCCCAGATCTCCCTTGGAGACTTTTTAAAGCAGTGGTGTCCAATTTGCCCCTTGTAATTTTTCATTTAATAATCAGGTGATTATACTGCAGTAGTTCAGCTGTTTCAGCCTTCAGTTTCTCTAGAATTTGTGGATTAATAAATCGCAACTATTTCTTTTGTCTCCTTGTTCCTTAACCTCCATGGTTACTCATATTCATAAACACTGCCAAAGCACTGCTGTACTGCACCTAATCGAAACTGAAAATATGTCCTTCTGGAATAAACTCTCTAATTGCTCCAGCCTGTGTCAGAGACTAGAACAAAATATGACCTTCTAATTTCTCTGCCTAATCAGCTGACACAGTGCACCACGAGAATATTAGGCACTTGTAATCACGTTAGGAAAATCTGGTTGTAAATTACTAAATCATAATCTGTTTAATTTATCTCCTGATTACATCCACACCTAGCAACACTTCTATGTGTCAACCTGCCTACTGATTAAATTTAGATTATCCAAGTAGGCAACTGTTTATTTTATACAGAATTCATAATTACACACATAAATCTCATCTAATGCCTTTTCTTTGTTTCATTTTACACATTAAAAAGAATGTTTACTTACCACAGCTTTCTGGTATGTGTGAATTTATAAGACCAAGTTCCCAAGCCCGTTTTATAAGTGGAAGAGGATACTGAAATAGACGTAAAAATCACCTTCTGATTCACCACAGTCAACATCTTAATTTTTAAGCAGGTTAAGACAAAAGTCTATTTTTCCCCTTACACTAAGGTAGACTTACCTCTCCAGTTCTGTCATATTGTGCAGCAACTGGAATAATTTCCTCCAGAGCAAATTTACGAGCAGTAGCTTGGAACTCTTTCTGTTCATCAGTAAGTTCTATTTAAAAAACAAAGGTCACAAATTCTCTACTATTTTTAATTCTGCCAGTTGCCAGACTATGAGGAAAAAGAAAACAAGAGTGGCCTTCCACGACAAGCCAAACCACCACTTCCTGGGCTTCTCAAGGAATCAAAAAGCTTGGCTTCCCATCTTCCTTGGACAAAACCTCCACTCTTCTCTCATCAACACCTACAATACACTCACTCACTCCTCATGAAATTATCCACAAAATAGTGAAAATGGAGTAGAGAGGACTGTGTAATATAAAATGTATTACCAAAAGAAAGAAGAAGAATGCTGTACTCATTAAATGGAGGAAGAGGAGGTGGATGCTGTCCAAAGATCCTGGCTATTCAGTTTCCAACATCTAGCTGCTGACCCACTAAATTTTGCTTTACATCTATAGCATGTCAAGACAAGGATGAATTTCCTTATAACATTTCTTTGCAACTATGTTCAACTATGACAATGTTTAGCTACTTTAACATTGTAATATTCAAAGCTAAGGCACTTTGGCAATAAAAAAGCTTAAAACAGACACAAGTCTGAAGAAGAAAATCTTACAAATATGCACATACCTGACTTGCCTGAGCTGAGAAGAAAATAATTCTGGTTTTCAAACTTTTTTTCTTTTTTTAAGAATAGAAATCTATTTTGAATAAACACCTTGACTTTCAATTCATGTTAAACTGCGATATATTATTTTTTCTTTTACCTCTGCAATTTGCCCTTAATTGCTGTATTTCTTTCAAAACCTGCAATACCTACCGAAGCTAAAGCCAGCTCCAGGTTTGCCTATATGTGCGCTTTGAGCAGGTTTGCTAGAATGTGACCTCCATCCATGCCCTGCAATGGTCTGAAGTATCTGCTAAGGAGAAAAAGAACACAAGTTGTCAGATTTTTACAGCTCCAATCTCCTAAAGCTACCAGCCTGACTGCAGCACAACTTTAAATGTAGAATCCCTCTGTAGAAACAACATCACATCAAGTAGAATACAATTACTGCAGTGATAAAAAATTCTTGGCTACCTCAAGTTTTGTTCCTGTAGCAAGCAGAGCACACATGAACTTACAGCTATTCCAGGAATCCCAGGTTTTAACAGCACTGAGTCGAGCAAACTGCTGTATCCACTTCTGAGTATTGCACAACTAATTATTTAAAAATAATTAAGTGCAATTAAAATTTATGTTCACAGAGACACAGCAATATCTGTCATTTATACACACTCATCAAACGTGATTTTCTTGATCAGTAGTGAATATTTGATCTATCCAATGTTTACCATCTACATGCAGATTGAGTAAGACTTCAAAAACAACCTATTAACCAAGATCTATAAGAATACGTTGACTCATGTCTGCTTTCTGTTACTAAGCTGCTTCTGCAGACACTTACTGATTATTTCACCCCAAGCAGGGCAGAACTCAGCAGAATATCTGAGGTTGGTTATTTTTTCCTAATACTTATCATGGATGTATTGTTTTTTTCAGTGTGTTTGCTTTGGGTTTGGTTCTGTTTGTTTGAGTTTGGTGGATTGTGGGTTTTGGTGGTGGTGGTGGTTTTCGTTGGTTGGTTTGTTGGTTTTTTTTTTTATTTAGGGCCCACAAATATTCCTGCTACAGCTATTTTCAGAATGCCTTAATTCTGAGCAAAAATATGTCTCAATTTGATTTTAAATAGTTGTTTTACCCTCTTTCATCCTTTAGTAGTTCTGAATCTCTGAAATGTTTGTACAAAAAGTGAAAAACATTTAATTGGATAAATTTCTGGAAGGACCCAAATCAATCCTGTGCAAAACCAAACCAGCCTAAACACTAAAAAAAGCCTTGTTCTTGATTTTGCTATCTGAAAATGTAGACAGGAGGAGGAGTGCAAGCATTATCAGACCAGTCAATTATTATGTAACATTAAAAAAAATCATAATAGTGCAAAAAAGTACAGAAATTTTCCTGGAAGATGTAGAAGACAAGGACGTTCCAGAAAGTTACACAGCTGGGGAGGCAACAAGTAGCTTCAAAATAAAGATGTGGTAGACAAACATGCTCTTAAAAATAAGAATGCAATGCAGAGATTGTTACAAAGTCACACCACAAGAACCGGAAGAACACAGACAAAAGAAGGTATCAACACAGCGTAGAAAGTATTTCCAGAGGATACTGACAACATGTATAAATCAGAAAGGTGAAGAAATGCAGAACGCTTGCTGCCAGGCACAGGAGCTGGGGAGGACATGGCTGGATACAGACTGTCAAGGCAGTTTGTTAATGGTTCAGCACTGCATTTTCCACTAGGCAATAAAGTATTCAGTTGAAGTTTTCACAAGTCACAGACATTGCAAAATGGTATCTTCTTAACTTCTTACTGCTGCCACTCCTACACAGAAAAACAAACCACGTTTATCCTGAAAAACCTCAACCCTTCAGAATGTATTATACCTTAATTCATCTGGAAAAAGACGAGTTGGAAAAAAGCCAGATGATTCTAATAGGGTTTATTTTCCTTCCTTTCTTTTCTTTTCTTTTCCTTCCCTTCCCCTTCTGTTAAGGAACAGCCTTTGACAGACTCAGATATAGCTTTTCCATCAAAAAAGTTCTGCCTGCACCAGCAAAAGTACTGAACTCAAAGTAATGCTAAAAGTGACACACCACGTGACAGAAGATGTCAAATTTATACTAGAGAACTACTGTGGGTTGTGTACCCAAGTAGCATGCAAGTCAACACTGAAGGCTGCTCTGGAAAAAGTGAACACTTCCCCCACAAACAGAAATAGGAACTGGTCAGGTGGGATTCATACCTGGAAGCTGCATAAGTGATAAAGTGACAAAGGATCACAGCTTGCTACATGTAAGAATTTGGATGCCCATCTGCCTACCTACTCTCTCAAGTTTCTTATTGCCTGACTCAAAGGAACAATGAGATTCAGTAACAAGCTACTGCCAACGATGCTCCAATGCAACTCCTGCTGCATTTCCATGCACTATTCCGTAAAGTCTGCACAATTAGAAATACTATCATTAGAATGGCAAGACTAACACTGGAATAACCTGCTGTCAGAAAAAGGGCATGACATGGATACACACGGAAGCAATACATACTATTCCCTTAACACTTAAAACAGCTACAGAACCTGTCTGAAAAGCTGCACATCACAAAAGAAGCCGGACAACAAGCTAAGGTCGCTGACCTTGACTCTGCATCAGGACAAAAATGAAGAGAGTTGTCCTGAGCAGCTCGTTGCTGGGGTACTGTGTCAACAGGCTGAACTGGAAATACCCATGCCCTAGGATGGGCATTAATCACTTCCATTCCCGCTGCCTAACGCACGGGTTATGACCTGTGAAACACTGCCTGGCTGCAGATGAAACTTCTTCCTCCACGGATGCTGTCAAGGCAGCACCCTGGGGCGCACCAGGGCTGCTTCCAGGCAGCTCTGGCGACATGCCCTTCTGCTAGGTCAGTGAGTGAGTGCCTCTGGAAGACGGGACGCCAGAGGAAGGCCTGAAAATGCTACAGACAAGATACTGTTTTGTTTTCTATTCAAGGAACGAACTTGAGTAACTGTTGCTTTCTAGTTTGACGCTAGGACGTTACTGGCGGCTCAGCACAGCAGCACATCGGTAGTTCAGAAAAACAACTACTGCACTTCACACACACTTCAAGAAGTAGCACCGGCAATGCGGCTCGGTGAGCTGCCCTACACAAACACCCCGAGCTACGAGCCCCGATGTGCTGCAGCGGTCGCCACCGGGAGACGGGGGCCGCGGCTTTCCCGCAGTCCCTTCCCACGACCTTTGACACACAAAGAGGCCCGCGGTTGTGCAACAGCTCCGCGGCGGGCGGGCGGGCGGCACCGGGCGGACCACGGGGATTTGCCCAGGACCTCGCCGGTAACCAGCAGTAGCGAGAGGCCCTCGGCTCCGCGTGGCCCTGCCCTCCGGGGCAGCCGTCGGCTCTCGGCTCTTACCGACAAGACGGGAGCCGGGCCTGGCCGCCGCCGCCCGGCCTGGCCCCCGCCGCCTGCCCTCCACGGCCCCGGGGCCGCCAGAGCTTCCCACCTTTGCTCCGCAGCGCTCTCTCGGCCCACGGCCCTTCCCCGCCACCGCAGCGCCGCGCCCCGCCCCACGCCCCGGGCCCAGGCCCAGGCCCCGGCCCCGGCCCCGGCCCCGGCCCCGGCCCAGGCCCAGGCCCGGCCGCTCACCCGGGTTGCCCGCAGTGCAGACATCTTGGCGGGGGTGCCGGTGGCCGCGGAGACTCCGGCCGAGCCCGGAGAGGCGGGGCGCTGGGGCAGCGGGGCGGTGCCGCGCAAGCCGCCGGCTACGCCGACCTGAGGCCCGCAGGGGTTTAACCCCCGAGAGGGTCGTCCCGCGCCGCTGCAGAGAGTCTGGGCCAGCCGCTGCCCTGGCTCCGCGGTGGGCAAGAGCCGGGGGTAAGCGGCACAGCGCGCTTGGGGGCTCGGGGTAAGCAGGAGAGGCGGCGCGGCTCGGCTCGGCGGGTGGCTGTTGTCTCCCGCCCACCCGCGGAGACCTTCATTCGCTGCGTTTGCTGCTTGCTCCCAGGACAGGGGAAAGCCCGGACTGTTGACGCCGCCGAGGTACCGCCGCTGCCTCGCAGATACCCACTCAGCGCCCGTGCATACCGGAACAGGAGGTTTGACTAAGGCTTGGCCAGTGCGCCTTTCGGCTAGCGACTCTTTTGGGCTGTCTCCAGCCCCGCACAACTTTCCTTCCTTCCCCCTTAGAAAAAAAGGGAGTGACCCGTTCTGTTGTGTTTTTACAAGAGACATTAAGGTGCCGGAGCCGGAGGCAGCCCAGAGAGGGGCAACGGGGCTGATGCAGGGCCTGGAGCCCAAGTGTGATGGGGAACGGCTGAGGGACCTGGGGGGTTCAGTCTGGAGAAGGCTCAGGGGGGACCTGATCGCTCCCTCCAACTGCCTGACAGGAGGATGGAGCCAGCAGGGGCTGGGCTCTGCTCCCAAGGAGCAAGGGATGGGACAAGAGGAGCCGGCCTCAAGCTGCACCAGGGCAGGTTTAGGTGGAGCTGAGGAACAATTCCTGCCCCAGACGGTGCTCAGGCATTGGAACAGGCTGCCCAGGGCAGGGCTGCAGGCACCGGCCCTGCAAGGGTTCACACCCCGTGGGGACGAGGCCTCAGTGCCATGGGTCAGTGGTGGTCTTGGCGGTGCTGGGAACGGTTGGACTGGATGGGATTAAAGGGCTTTTCCAACCTGGTTGATTCTAGGATTTTAATACCATTCTTAATTTGAGGTCTCATAGCGATGTGTACTGTGTTGATAGTTGTGTAAAATGTGCTTATAAACGCTCTAAATTCTGGCCACATGCTAAAGCAAAGCTCTTATTTTATAAATTATGTGCAGTGCACAAAATATATTCTTTTGAATATGATTCTTCAGTGTCACAAAGCAGTGTTAATTAGGGGTTTATTAAAACAACTCTTTAAAGACAAATAGCCACTTCAATTTGTCTGTGAATGACTTTTTTATGGCAAGAGATTTTAACAGAATTACCAAAACATAAAGCAATTTCCTGGAAGCTGAATTTTGGATATCCTTTCATTTTGCATAACAATTCAAAGTAAGATGTCCCAAATACTTTTAGGGCAGCTATTGCCTTGGTATGTTTAGTTCTTCATTGCTTGGTTTGTTTCTGACAGTTGAGAGTACTGATTTTGTATTTAGTACCCAATCATTGCTAAAGTAGGATGCTAACTGTGTAATAGCTATTTCTTATCTATGTCAGCTGATTAAAAAGAAGCTGATGATAATGTTGTGTAGGCTTTATCCTGGCATGACTCCAGGTGTTCACCTGACTCAGTCACAGGCTGGTGATTAACTCCAATACCAGCAGATTCCCCACTCCCCGCCCTGTACTGTAAAGATAGTTGAGTAAAAGAAGCATAATTTATAACTTTGTTGCCCAAGTATTTAATGAAGAATTTGTATGTTCTTCCTGCTGTAAATCTGGTTTCAAGTACATCATACCACTGGATTGTATGGCTGCAGGGCTTTTAAATATGAGCACTCAAGTCTGCATTTTGTGTTCTATTTTATATAGGGCCCTATTCTGTAGGTCATGTTTCTGATTATGGTGTGGGAGTTTAATTACTGAGCAGTCCATTTTCTGTTGGTAAATTGTTCGGTTTGTGTGCACATAGTATCTGCACTACTCATCTGATTTATCATCGCAACAGCCCTTGTGATGAGATACAGGGAAAAATATTAATCTTATTTTAATGTTGTAAAAGTTTAATTTTAGATATGCAGCGTGGATTTTACTATGTTAATTCTAATGAGGATTACACACCCACAATTCTGAAGATGGGTTGATGGGTTCAGAATCTGTATGAAAAGCTGGTGTCACAGGTAGTATGACTGAGTCAAGTGCTTGAATACCTGTAAGGATGTTAGACACTGAGTGTGTTTGCTGGCTGCAGGAAGAGATTTACTGTGGTGCTCAGACTTGAGACCTTATTTCTAGATGCCTTTGAGATTAGGATCCGTAACCCTTCAGTAAGCAAATAAGCTCTTTTTTTGCACTGTGGTGAAGAGACAGCTTGGAATGGGGCTCAGGACATCCGTAAAGCTGAGAGATTGAATAAATCAGTCCACTGAGGGAATATTGACATTAGGAAGTAATGCAGACCGATACTGTTGGATTTATAGTGTGAAATGCTTGTATTCAAGACATGGGAAGTGTTTTGTAGGATTTTTGCTTTGAGCTAGACAAAATACCCACTAATGTGTTGTTGGGGCACATTAGGTGCACTCCTAGATCAGGTCTTCCAGATAGTTTCATCCAAAATTCAGTTAATATGCTTTGAAATCTCTCTGTGAATGAAATAATGTTCAGTAGGTGGGGACAATTGGGAGATTCCCCTCAGAACCACACTCCTTACCTGAACTGAACTGTTTGTGTAGATAGAGCCTGTGAAGATAGTTGTCTGAAACTGTCCAGCTGAGGAAACTGAGCCAGGAGCAAACTGGAACATTTGCTGTTCTCCAGGCTTGCCTTGCATTAGAAGCACCTTTGCAAGTTTGCTGCTTGCCTCTGAAGACAGGTGTCTATGTACTTTCTGGATGCAAGCCTCTCTATTAAAAAGCTCCTAACTATCTCCTGCAGTGTTGTAGAGGTTAAAGAAAGAAGAAGGGAAAGAGTGCATGGAGCCAAGATCGGTATTCAAGGGCATTTCTGCTAACTGACAGGAGCAACTGCAATAAGGTACCAGAACCTTGTCTTGATTAGGGTCACTAGTTAATGCAGCTAATGAAGCCATACCCTTGCCCACATTTCTTCACTTCCTTCAGTCATTTTTTGCCCTACCTCTCTTCGCATCTCCTTGACTTTTGGCCTCTTCAGGAGCCTGCTTTTGGCCTCTTCAGGAGCCTGCTTTGGCCTCTTCAGGAGCCTGCTTAGTAAGGTTCAATGGGATATAGCCCTAGAGGGCAGGGGGGCTCAAGACTCTTGGCTGGTCTTCAAGGATCACCTGTTACAAGCTCAGGAGTGTTGCATCCCAACCAGAAGGAAGTGCAGGAGGAGGGCCAGGAGACCTCCTTGGATGGATAAGGAGCTGCTGAGGAAAATTCAAATGAAAAAAGAGCTCTATAGAAAGTGGAAGCAAGGACAGGTGGCCTGGGAAGAGCACAGGGATGTTGTCCGGGAAGCTAGGCACCAGGTTAGGAAAGCTAAGGCCCAGTTAGAATTAAACTTGGCTAGGGATATTAGGGATAACAGGAAGGGATTCTACAGGTACATAGCAAATAAAAAACAGATTAGGGAGAACATAGGCCCCCTCAGAAAGCTCTCAGGTGAACAAGCTACACAGGATTTGGAGAAGGCTGAGGTTCTGCATGACTTCTTTGCCTCTGTCTTCTCTAGCAAAGGCTCTGACCGCAACACCCAAGTCTTGGAAGGCAGACGCAGGGACTGTGAGAATGAAGACCTTGGGCCCACTGTAGGAGAGGAATTGGTTTGAGACCATCTTAAAAATCTGAACGTGCTCAAGTCCATGGGTCCTGATGAAATCCATCCGCGGGTCCTGAAGGCGCTGGGAAATGAAGTTGCTAAGCCGCTGGCCAACACATTTGAGAAATAATGGCAGTCAGGTGAAGTTCCTGACAACTGGAAAAAGGGAAATATAACCCCCATTTTCAAGAAGGGCAAAATGGATGACCCAGGGAATTACAGACCGGTCAGTCTCACCTCTGTGCCTGGCAAAATCTTGGAGCAGATTCTCCTGGAAGGCATGCTAAGGCACATGAGAAACAACAAGGTGCTTGGTGACAGCCAGCATGGCTTCACTAAGGGGAAGTCCTCCCTGACCAATTCGGTGGGTTACTTTCTACAATGTCATTGTTCTGCGGCAAAATAATCAGAATCATAAAGTGGTGCATGTTCTTGCATAAAAATTAGAGTATTAGTTCTGTTATCCTTTTCTGTTACTTTTTTTTCTGGTACTTTTTTGGGTTTTTTACTACCTCTGAATACTGAAATGAAAATTTTCATATATTATCCATGATAACAAAATACAATTCCTGGGTTGTAATGATCAACTCAAAGCTCATATTTGTGTATGAGTGTTTCTCTGCACCCCTTGTCTTTATCATTTTACATTTATCTGCCCTGAACTTACCTGAAATTATTTCAGTCCCATAACCATTGGCAGCAAAATTTCCCACTCCAGTGTTCCTCTCATTTATCAGGTCACTGATGAGTGCCTGGAACAGGAACGGCCCTGGCACATTAGTCTTTGAGATTCCCTGGGGGACCCCATCACTGTGACACAGTATTGTTTAGTCTTCAAAGTTTTTTGAAAATTTCTGTAAAGGGGTGTGGAAGTGTCTGTCCCTTTGGGGGTATTTGGTCAAGAATCTTCTCAATGCAAAATGGGGGAAGAAGAAAAGGAGGAAGCCATAAACAAGAACATAAAAAGACACAGACATGACTGACAAATGGTAAGGTAGGCAGTGATGAGATATAAACCCGCTCAGTCATGCTAAAGGGTATGGGGACATTTATTTCAGTAGGACTATCTGACCAAGTCTCTTGTCAAATGGCATAGCAAGAAAAAGTGGGAAGCCATAAACAAAACATGGAAACACAAACTTGACAGGCAAACTATACTGACAAAGACAAGCAATAAACTGGCTCTCAATAAACTATAGGCAAACTGAGACTTTGCAACTGATGAGGATGAAAACCTGAGGGTCCAGAATGTTGGAAAGGGATGCCTGGAGCTATGAAAACCAGTGAAGGAATGTGCAGGGGAAGGGCATCTGGAGGAGCAAAGGAGGAATAGGCAGAATGGAGTATAAAAGGGACCATGGATGTGCATATGTGCATCCAGAGAGCCTCTTGTGTGTGCCTGCACCAGTGACCTGTCTCTGCCAGCCCAAGAGGAGCTTCCAGTGCTTGTGAGTGGTGTGGGTCCTGTGTGTAGTTACCATTGAAGGTAATGCTTCACATGTGAAAGTGCCTGTGACTGGCCAAGTCAGTGTCCTGTGTGGGTCACTAGGACATGTGCTCAACTTTGCTGCTGGCTGATCCTGCACATGAGAAGGTGCTACCTCTTCCTGGACAGGTACACTGGGTCCCCAGGCACAGGCCTGGGCTCCAGCAGCTGGGCAGGGGTCCTGGGCTGGAGCTGCAACTGGTGACAGGCACTCCTAACACCCCTTAACACTTTTTATCCGTAAAAAGAGTTCTTCTTTTCTCTTTATGGTGGCTCAATTTATTTAAGACTTTCTGATGAGGCAGCTTGTTTTAAAAAATGTTTTCAGAAATCCAAATAACCTGAAGACCAGCTGTATTCTGCATCTTCACACCTGCTGACTCACTGGGATGTCTCCAGTAGTTCTGTGAGCCCTGACTTCTCTTTACAAAAAAACGTACTTCCCAATATATCCTATGTTCCAAACTTGTCTGCATGATCGTAGCTTCCTCTGTTTGCAGCATGCAGGGGGGGGTTTATCAGTGCACTTTTCTGGATTTTCATCAGAAACATGTTCAAAAATTTCAAAAATGTCGATCATCCTCAAGTCTGTATGTGCATAGGAGGCTTAAGGGGAATACCAGATCTGCCCTGCGTGTGCTCTTCCTGCTCTTGGCTTTTAAAAAGAGGATTATTTTTAGTGTCTGCACTTCTTGCAAATTAACGCTCAAACTCTTTTTTGGCCTGCCTTAGCGTGCTTTCACATTTAACCTGCCAACTTGTGTGATCCTTTATCATTTACTCATTTGAACACAGCTTTAACTTACCAAATGATTCCTCCAACTGCCCTTTTCATTCTGCCTGGACATGCTGGTTTCCTTTCACCATTTCTCAGGCCCTTCAGAAAAACATGAATACACAAAGATGATCTGCTATGTCTCAAAGTGGTGTCTTTACATAGCCTTCTATCTACCAGAAATACTATAACTCATGTATTTTTAGCACTACTCTAACCTATTGAATTCTTATTATCAAGTTCTTTCTTTTTTAGTGTATTTTTCAGTTATTCCTTGGTTCTGATGGTTAGAAACAAGTCAAAAGATACTTCTTATCCTGGAGGATTCCAGACTAACTTCTTAATATTATGTATGATTTTATTCTTTTAAAAAATCTAAGAATCCTAACTTTATATTGCCTATAAACCCTACTGAAAAGAAAAAAAAAATTGCTGGAGTGCACGTGAGGATTTTCTCTCCCTAGAACTTAGAATTGCTGAGTAAGTCAAAGCTTATTTCTGGTTGTTAGCCATAGCCCATATATATATATCTGTGCAGAACATATATGCAGAACATATATGTTCTGTTATATATAATGCACATAACATATACGTATGTTCTATATAGCATATATGTTAAATATAACATATGTTGCATACAGTATATAATATAAATACTGTATTACATAGTCTGTATAATGTTGTATATACACAAAAATATATGCATACACAAGAGGCAACATATAGTGTATGCTGTATGTCATATATACTACTTATGATCCATGATAGATAGATATATAGTTTATATATGTATTGGTAGGACTGGCTATATAAACTCCATTGCCTATGGCTTTTATTGTTTAGTTTGTTGAGATTCCAATGTCCGTTCTTGAAAGTAGGCTATATGCAGATAGTGCTCTGCACCAAGGGAACGAAGTAGTCCTGAGCTGTGGGATAGTACTGATGCTTCCCTGAGAATTCGACTTCAGCTCTGACCAGCAAATCCCACCCTGCCCTGCTTTACAGGTTGCAGTGCCTCATCAGAATGAGCCAGAAGACATTAACCCACGACCCTGGTGCTTACAGAGCTGTCCTACACAGCTTTTCTCCTGTTTGACTCAATCTCTAACACAAGAAGCTCTTCTTTCTGTAGGTGAGATTGTCTGAATTGTCATCAACGCTGAGATGAAATAAGGATTTCTTTAGATAGCAAAGTATGTCATCCCTTTGATAGAGGAGGTGTTTGCTCTTTGGATCTTTTTCCCAGAACAATGACAGGTATCTTGGGTAGCTAGACGTGGCTTAAGAGGGTGGGTGGACTAGGTCTGGGAAAGAACTCCAGTTTACCTTTGTGGACCACCATGGATGCACAGAATGCATTAACCTCTGCCTGGGTAGTATTCTGATGAAACAGGGTAGCTGGAAGAAGCAACTACTCATTTTAAAAGTTATAAAGACATATAAATCCTCCCAATTAAATGCAGAACGGAAATAACTACCCCCAGTACTTCCAGTACTCGCTGACAAAGCTGCATATGTGAACCTAAGCAGTATGAGAGCAATTGGCCTGAACTGAACTGAGACCTCTGTGGGGATGTATAAGGTGTGACATGTGCCTGGTTTTGTTTCCTTAAACCTAGCAAAGGCAGCTGGCACTGCAAGACCTGGTGCTGCAAGACTGGAGGAGGCACACCCCCTCACTGCCTCTGATGTATGTGTGATTGGTTCATGTTTCAGTACCAGCATATTAACATCTTTTATGATCTATGCATATTAATTTAGTTATAAATAAAATACTTGCGTGCTTTTGAGATTTGTAAGCCAACTTTTGAAAGGTTACCTGTATTTGCAAGACTTGGAGTACCTTTCTCTCAAATTGCTCCTGTGTAAACATGTAAATGATGGCCTACATCTTCTGTCAAGAATTACAGGGGGTTAGTTCAATTTTTTTTTTCAATACAAGATTTTGCATCTTGTGTTGGACTTTCTGATGCTTCCCCAGCAACAGACTAAGAGATAAATCACAGTGTGACATCTGAATATAGTGTCCTTTAGCTGCAGCAATGATTTGGGCCGTCACTGTCAGCAATCAAACTGCGCTTTAAGTGGCCATTGCCCCACAGGGAGGAGGATGACAACTGAAGTTTATAGCCAGCATCTGTATTTGTCAGCGCTGAAGCTGTACTTTGACGGGATCAGGGAATGCCTCTACCAAGCCCGGACTAAAGTGTTGCGGTTCCTCCTGGTGAAGAAGGGGGGACGGAAATCCAGCTCTGTTGGGGGGAACCGGAGTGCTTCGCCCTCCGACCAGCCCCCGGGCTCTTCTCCGCGGCGGGGCTCGGCTCGGCTCGGCTCAGCACGGGCGGCCCGGACAGCTCCGCCGGGAGCGGCGGGAGGCGCTTTCCAAGGTCGCCCCCGGGGCGGTGGGGCCAGGGCGGGCGGCGAAGAGCTTCGGGACCGGCTGCCTGCTCCGGACCCGCCGCCGAGCCTCGGGACGCGGGTGGGGATGGAGAGAGCGTCCCCCCTGAGGGAGTCACGGAGCCGAGGGGCAGCGGCCGGGATGGAGACATACCCGTCGCGGAGCCCGCCAGGTACGGTACGGTACGGTACGGCGCCCGCCTCCGGCAGCTGCCCACGTTGTGTCCGCGCGGGACCGGCCCGTCCCCGCCCCCGGCTCGATCCCGCTGCCCCCTCCCACACCCCACAGTTCGGGCACCGCCCCCACGGGCTCGGCGCAGGCGTCAGCTGCGGAGCCGCCGGGACGGGCGGTTCAGCGCGGGTGGTGTTCTGAGTCGAGCGGAGCGGAGCGGGGTCTGCCCGGCTGCTGCCGCCTCTCATGCCTTCACGGCAACAAAGGGCGCGCTGAGCGGCGGGCGGCGGCGCCGGGCCACTGGCCGTGCCGGCGCGGAGGCACCAGGAGACGATGGCCAGGAAGGGAGAAGCGTCCGCGGCTCTCTACGGTGAGCGCCCGGCGCGGGGGCAAGGCGGGGCGGGTGACGGTGCTGGCGGCGGGGGCCCCGGGCCCTAGTGCCTCGCTCCGGCCTGGTTGCGCTGCGTCTCCAGTCGGCGCGCGCCGGCGGCGGAGTTAGTGTCCCTCAGCGGGTGATGGGTGCAGGGACCCCTCGCAGGCGGGAGCGCCTACAGCCCGGGGCGGCCGGGAGCGGACGGGAGCCAGCGGCAAAGGGATGGGGGCAGGCATGGCGAAGATCTCCGCCAGCCCCCCGGCCTCGGGAGCAGGTGCGTTGCGGCCGCTTTGTCCGAGCTGTGGGGCGGAGAGGGCTGCGGGGCCCGGCGCCGGGAGGGAGGGCAGGAGGGGAGGCCGCCGGGCGGCAGGTGCGCGGCGGCGGCAGGGCCGTGCCGGCCGTTAGGCGCGCGGGGTTCGGCGGGGCCAGGCCAGGCCGCGGCGGCCGTTGTGCGGGGCGGGGGCCGAGCCGCGGTGCTCGGGGGTGCACGGCTGCGCGCACCGCGGTCCCTGCTCCCCGGCTGGGTCCGGGGAAGGTCACCGGGGCAGGGCTTCACCTCGGCGGGCGCTGCGTGGAAGCCGGTGCGGTTGCGGCAGTGGGCACGGGGCTTGCGGAGCTCCCTGCCCTGTGTGAAGGTGTCGGAACAGAACCGATTTCCTCGTCCAGCGTGCGCGAGATTTCCGTGGCAAAACAAACCTGAGGAGTGAGCAGCCCCCCGGGAACAGGGGAGCCGGGGAAGGAGGAAACGAGGCAGCTCCTCTGAGCGCCCCGGGGACCCTGGTAACCGGCCCGGTGACACACGGGCGAGACTCCTCGGCAGAGCAGCCTCTGCCTTTTGGTGCCACGGGCACGCACTGTGCTGTGTTTACAGCTCGTGGAAAACTCTGTTTTGTAATTCATCTCTGTGGTTTGACCCTTGGTCTGGCTTGAAGGGAAATAAACAGCTTGGCTTCCTCACAAAAGGAAAAGGGGAAAAAACGCCTTCAGGGACAAGCCACAAAGAAAGTGGGGTGTTTCAAAGGTGAAATCTAAACAGGTGGGTCTGTGGTGGTTTAGCTTCAGAGGGAACCTGTGCCTACCCCTGTGGAATTCAAATGGGTTTGCAGATTACTGCAGAGGCAGTAGGCCTTGAACCACAGAAACTCATGGTCTGATGGTAGAAGGAGGCATGGAGGCATCCTCCTGAAAGAAGAGCAGGAATACAGGATTCAGGAAGGGAAAATACATTTTAAATAGAGTTCACTCAGTACTGTGCATGCTTTCAGACTTGCCATTCGTAAGTACTGGTAAGAAAGTCGTGGCAGGAAGTACTCAGTGTTGTAACATTATAATACAACTGTTTTTGGACTTCATTTTTCAAAGCATGTTACTCAGGTAAGAAAGGGTGATCCTCTATTTATCCAGCTTAAGGGAGGAGGGTGATGTGTCTGGAATGTAGCTGACTAGGATTCCTGCTGTTTTGTAGCATCAGTGTGTTTACTTCCTGTTACCTTATTTGCACATGTGGATACGTGTGGATTTTGTGGTAGCATGTGCTGTGTTACTACATCTCAAGCACTTGCTCTGGTCTTGTACTAGAAAGCAAAGCTTGAATTCAGCTTTTTTTTCCCTATTAGATCACATAATGGTAAAGACATACAGAAGGGATGTGCAGCATTTCCAAATTCAGCAAACATAATAAGGTTTTCCTTTGCTTACCCACTTGCTGTTATTCTCTTGACTGTGTTGTTTCTGCCAGTAACTGGTTATTTATTAGCGCACAGGTGTATTTTTCTGAGGTGTGCTAAACTTTTCTTCTTGGAATCGGAAGGATTCCTCAGAGGTTCAGCATTTATAAATTACAAAGGCAAATTCTTCCCCAAAATTTTGGTCTTTTAACTTGTGGCATCAGTCTGATTTTTCAGAAGAGATGAGCCAAGCCCATGGCTGACGAAAGGCTCTGTGGACAGGTTTGTAACTACCTCAGATTTCTCTGTGAGTACCAAGTATCCTGTTGGATGACTGCTCCTTGCGAGTTGGGCTGTGCTGGCAGCCTGGCATGGTAGACGAGGTGGCTGACAGCTCAAGTGATCTGGCTCTGAGGAAGGTTTTGGTAAGCCCATAACATTTGGAGGTAAACCCTCTCAGTTTTAGTTCCTCTGTCCACATGCATGTGTGAGAAGGATCATAAATTCATCTTTGGAAACAAGCTTTTGGGTGTTTCCTGAAGTTTGGTCTTCATCAGGATGGCTGTAGGCTGCATCCAGGACTTGCATCAGGTTTTTCCTTAACTCTGGTAAGGTAGAAAGGTTTTGTCAAGAGCAATGACATGTACTTTATTGAGGCTTCTCTCTTTGGCCGGGATTTCCAAATGAGAAAAACCAAAGCTCTTTCCCAACTGGAAGGTTGTCACTGAAGCTAAGGAGGCAAAGTAATTATTTCTTTTTCTCATTATAGCTGATTATGTGAGAGGTTTTTTTTAACCAAAGTAGTGTTTTCATTCATGTAGCTGCAGTACTGAGGGCTGTCATGTGACTGTTGAAATAAATGGTAAATTTCTTTTTGACTTCATTGCAGAATCAGGCTCTTAACAGTGATTGTACCAAAAGCAATTTTCTATAGCAGTGAACCACAGTCCAGTTGTTAGATTACAAATCACTGAAGTCCAAACAGGTGGTGATGTTGTCTTTAAAGAAAGCTTTTAGCACTGTTTTAAGAAACATTATTGCATATATACAAGTGCCAGATTGTATTACTTTGAACTCAAATTTAGCTAGCTTACTATTTTCTTTTTTTTTTTTTTTTTAATAGCTGCATATTTAGATCCCCTGTAGGAAGAACTACTTTCCTGTCGTTTCTTCTGCCAGTAGTGGTTGCAACCAAAACTTGAATCTGTAACAGGGATTCTTAATCACTACTGTGAAGTGATCATGTCATTTATTTATTTTACAAAAATAAATTCTCTTTGTTTATTTTCTCAAGATGGGGAGGTTCTTCTGTTTTCCTTGGAAGGGCTTTTGATGAACTGTGAAACTTCCCATCAAGACATGTTATTTCTTTTAATTTGGCCTGCATTTCCCAGTCTTAATTTCATCCAGTTACACATATGTACCAGGCAGGAAGGACATCGTCCATCTAAAGAGAATGGGCGGGCTGTTCAGCCTTAGCTGTGCTGTATGACCTACAGGCTATTGGCTGTGACACTGCTGCAGGTAAAGCCTTCTTGGCTTCTGCTGGTAAATCCTTGTGTATTGTGGTAGGTGATTCATGAGGTTCAAATTTCATACCAGTGGGGTACATTTCTAAGGTAAGACTTGGATTTATAAAGCTATGCATATTCCAAATTTTTGCAAGAGGTCTTCAACAGCTGATTGATGAGATGCAAACAACAGCTCAGTTAAATTTACACACATCTGCTTTGGTACAACAGTAAGTGCTTACTTTATTAATACAAGTAGCTGAGTTGGATTCAGTGTATCTTCTTAAAATATGAACAGGACTGCATACCAGAAACAGGTCAGTAAGTGAATAGCCAATAAACCCAGTAGGATTTAATCAATACAAATTGCATATCTAGTGGTCTGGTACTTCTTTGTATATCTTGAGCCAAATTAATTGCTACAGTTTTTAGTCCAGTTAAGATTTTAGAGTATGTGAAAGCATCCAGGCTTTGATTTGTCATCCTTTAGAGCTATGAGTATTGTACTTCTTTTAGCTTACTGACTTAAGCTGAACCATTCTTGGGAGTGAGGTATTGCTCAGCCATGAACAAGGATGATGCAATAAGAACATCTTTAGAAGAATTAACTGTTATGCATAGCTATGCACTGTTCAGTGATTATTTATTGCTGAGTGGTATGACTGTCACTGACCAGAAGAAATAGTTCAGTAAGCTAGGCTTCTTTGTGACTACATACATTTTGTTACATCTTTTTAACAAGCAGGATGTTAATGCATAGTTGATGGGAAATTCTCTGCTGCCATACAATTTAGTACTGAAATGAAGTCTGTACTGAAATGAAGTCTAACTTTCACAGAGTCCTCTGTCGGATGGATTGGATCAGTTTCTAGCTCAACCCCCCTGCTTTTAGTAGACCTCCCTGTGTTACCAAAACAAGGCTTTACATACATGTACCATAACTTCGTAGTTTTGTCAGAGATGGTGAATCCTTCTGCTTAGGAATACATTGAAATTTCTCTGCATCAGGGTGCCCTGACCAGTATCCCTTTGGGTTTCCACCCCTGTCCTCTGACAAAGGGTTCCATTTAAGCTCAGGCTGGTGCCTTTCATTCTCCTGTGTGCGTGTGTGCCTAGGGGTGTCTGTCCCTTGTCCTGTTTCTCAGGTGCTACATGGAATCCCTGGGTGGACCTGGCCTGCTGTCCTTTCCTGCCTGATGAGCACTGAGCTCTCAGTAGGACATGTTGCTGTTGCTGCTTTGTGTGCCCGTCTCTGGTGCAACAGGTGTAAGGACATTGCAAAGCCTGTGTTTTAGGCATCCTGGGGTCCAGACGTGCCTTCCCTTAGTCCTGCTCTTGCTGTTCCTTGGCACTCTGGAGTCTGTCTCCGCATCATTTTGCCTTCTCAATATGATTGTCAAATCCTAAAAGCAGTTGATCCTTTTTGGATTAATTGGCATTTTGTGCATTTACCACAAAGCAGTTGTTTTCATGACTCAACTTGATAAAAACAAATTAAAGAAACCTCTTTATATCAAATGCAGAGACACTAATGGGTGTGTGAAAGTGAGACTTGGCACTTTTCTCATACCTCTTTGACGTGTTTATGTTCTGGTGTGCTGGCAGTTACATATCCTCAGGTATTCCATCTCTTTCCAAGCTTCTCTCACTTTCAAAATCAGGTACAGTCTTACATGTAAAATAAAGCCAAAATGAAATGTAGTTCTGCCTGTTTTTCTCTCATGTGCACACTTGTTTACATATCTGTGGAAGCCCAGTGGAAATCTCAAAGACAGGAGAGGAGGCAGATAAACAGGCAGTACTTTGAGCTTGTCCGGCT